GAAAAATATTAGTAATCCTATGATTCTGAATGAAAAATTGTAAATACAATTTGCATATTTTATTTATTTTTTCTTTTACGTTTGAATAAGTAATCATTCAAGCCCGTGAATTTTTGTTTTATAAAATATTAATTTAGAGATTTAAATAAACAGGAGTATTTTATATTGTCACGTCAATGTTTAAACCAATAAAAGAAAAGCTAACTTCATTTAATAAGCATATCATAAACAAATATAAAATTTATTTGGAGACAAAGAGAATATCTTTTTTAACAAAAGAAATCTTATTTATTCATAGAAAGTTTTATTATAAATGAAATGGAAAAGAATGTAAAATTAAAAAGAATACCTATATTCCATATTTAAATTTATTCGATGATGTTGAAATCATAAAGAATGTTTGTGTAAACATAGTATGGTATGGCGACACATATTTTGTTTAACTATATTCTATATTTTAATTTAAGTATCATTTGCTAATAGGTAATTAAAAATAATATATTTTTAAATTTAGATCATAAATGGTCTAAAACGTAATAAGTTTTCTAGTCATTAAATCAAATCATACAATTAATATATTTAAACTATTAAATTATGTGTAGTATTTTTTCTAGTTGAAGATTAGTATAAACCAATCATATTGTATTTTTTAATTTTATATAATTATTTAAACAAATAGATTCAAAATTAATTTTTTTAAGCATATCCTAAATAAATACTCGTATAATTTTTTTAAGGGTGAAAAGAGGTACGTGTTTATTAATTGAAAGCTTTTTTATACATAAAGAGAGAAAAAATATTGAATTAGAAAAGAATATTATTATAAAACAAAAATCTAAATTTCATATTTAAATCTATTCAAAATATGTCATCCTAAATATTTATTTCATATTTTCTTATCTGAAAATTAAGTGAAACAAATCACATTATAAATACACATATCAATTTTCTATATAAGTCTCATTTTTATATATAAAAGATTTATTAAAATTTAAATAATTTTATTTTGAATAAAAATTAAAATTTTAATTTAATATCATGCCAAGTATTATTTGTAGTATATATATTTAATTGATAATCACACGTTGAATTGTTTTTTGAGTAAATGATAAATAATTATTTAATTATATTATATATTTACCTAACTTGTAATTGATTGCCTTTCATAAATTTCTAACAAATTATTTATTTGGTTTTTTATTGTCTTACATAAATAAATGATAATTTGTCAAAAAATAGTGCCACATAGATATTGCCACATGTCATATTCTTAAAGAGTCACTTGCCATTTTTTAAACACCAACATGTCAAATTCTTAGAGTAAGGAGTCTCAAATTTATATATAAAGGAAAAGGATTTTCTTGTCCGAAATTAGGTGAAATAAATCACATAATATTCAAATTTCTAAAGTTATGAGTCTCATGTTTATACATAAAATATTTATCAAAATTTTAATAATATGAATTTGATAACAAATTAAAATTTTAATTTAATCTCATGTATTATTTGTAGTATATTGAATTGTCAATCCCACGTTGAATTCTTTCTGGGTGAATGTTAAATATTTATTTAAGTATATTAAATGTTTACTTAACTTGTAATTCATTGCCTTTCATAAATTTCTAACAAATAATTTTTTTGGTTTTTTTGGTTGCCTTACATAAATAAATGAGAATTTGTCAAAAAATAATGCCACATAGATATCGCCACATGTCAATTTTTTAAAGAGTTACTTGTCATTTTTTAAAGAGCCACATGTCAATTTTTTTAGTAAGGAGTCTAAAATATATACATAAAGGATAAATACTCATATCAACTTTCTATATGAGTCTCATTTTTATATATAAAAGATATATTAAAATTTTAACAATTTTATTTTTAAGTATGTTATAAATTTACTCAACTTGTAATTGATTGCCATTCATAAATTTCTAACAAATTATTTTTTTTATTGTCTTACATAAATAAATGATAATTTGTCAAAAAAAGTGCCACATAGATATTGCCACATGTCAATTTTTTAAATGTGATGGAAGATGACATGTAAAAAATAGCCTAGTAGACATTCCACATGTCAAATTTCTAGGAGGTTAACTCTCTTTTTTTATATATAAAGATAAAGATTGGCACTAACTGAGTGCTCAACATGTGCCATCAAACAAGGGAGCCCGAAAGCTGAATTGATCCAACAAACAAGTCTGATCATATGGGATGAAGCATGCATGATGAATAGATTTGATTTTGAGGCTTTGGATCACACAATGAGAGATATCATGGATGGGGTTTTCTAATGGTAACTATAGAAATGAACCATTTGGAGGGAAAATAGTTATACTCGGAGGTGACTTTCGGCAAATCCTTCTAGTTTTACCTAGAGCTTCGAGAGAGGAAATTGTAGGTGCTACGGTCAATTCCTTGCATTTGTTGTCATACTGTAAAGTTTATACGTTGACCAAGAATATGAAACTGCATTCATCCATGTCTTCTTGCCCATGCATATAGGGACACACAAGCTTTTTCTGATTGGATAATCAAAATGGGTGATGGAAAACGAGGTCAGGTGATGGATGGAGTTGGTGATGTTGAGATTCTGCCCGAATTCTTAATTCTTGATACAAGTTCTCGTATTAAGAGTAAAATGAGCTTCAATTCACTTATCCGAATATATTAGAGAATATGAAAAATTGTTCTTTTTGAGGATAGAGCACTATTGGCACCGGCTCTCGAAGTAGTTGAGATGATAAATGAATTTGTTTTGTCCCTCATTCCCGGTGATGAAATGGAGTACTTGAGTTTTGATTTTTTGTGCCAAGCAGAAGTAGATGTAGGTGTTGATGGGGATTGGATAACAATTGAGTTTTTGAATGAAATCAAACGTTCGGGAATCCCAAACCACAAAATAATCTTGAAAAAAGGGTACCGATTATGCTATTGAGGAACATTGACCAAACATCTGGATTGTGTAATGGGACAAGATTAACCGTTCAAGAACTGCGAAATAATGTTATCTGTGCAATTATGGTTTTGGAAAATCGAGTCGGGGAAAAAGTTTGCATCCTTTGAATGAATTTGGTACCATCTGATCCAGGCCTACTCTTGAAGTTCCAAAGAAGACAATTCCCGATCGACTCATGTTTTGCTATGACTATCAAAAAAAGTAGAGGTCAAACATTCTCATTTGTGGGATTATTTTTAACCAAGCCAGTGTTCACATATGGTCAACTATATGTTGCTCTTTCACGAGTGAAGACAAAGACAAGATTAAAGATATTAGTTCTAGATGACAATGAAAACCATTGCAACCATACCAAAAATGTTGTATACTCTGAAGTCTTTCAGAAAATTTGGTATTAAAATAAACATTGTTAACTCTACATTCTGTTCCTCAAATATTATTTATTTTACTTGGGCTTTTTTCATTTGTAGTATTAAAAATCATGTGAGTAATATATTTTCTTTATTCTGAAAAATAAATTTCATTGAAATAATTCAGAATTGACATAAATTTCTTTCGAACTCGTGCATGGCACGGGTCAGAATACTAGTTTTTTTAAACATTTAAGCACCATTCATGTTGACAAATAGTCCCACCTATTAAATGCTAAACACATTTCGATCTAAATCATGTACATTGTTTTTGAATGTGGTGATTGTATTTAGTTTCTATTATAGTAATGTGTTTTTATTATTTAATTAAAATTTTTTTGAAATAATAAGTTCTATTTAATAATTTTTAATTTTATTGGATTTATATTTATATTAAATTGTAGTAATTTTCTTCTCTAATTTGATTTTTCTAAATATAAATTCATATAATTTCTAAATATTTAATTTAATATTTTTTGTGATATGTTTATTCTTCAATTATATTACAATAAACAATTAGTATTATCTTGTAATAAATATATATGGAGTATGAATTATTTAAAATAATAATCCCTGCGTCCCAAAAGTGGTGGCACACTTCATATTAAATAATCACGAGAATTTTTGTTTAGTTATGTGCTTTCATTGATTATTTGATAAATTAAAATAAAATATTATCATCACCTCTTATTTTATAAAAAACTTTTATATATATAACTTTTATTTTTTATTTTTATACCAATTTTTCAATAAAATGAACTGAAAGATCGATCTTGAAATTTTGCTTCGTTTTGTGTAGCGTGACATTCATTTTGAAATGGGGTGAGTAAATAAAAAAAATTAAAGTACAAGTGGACCTATGTAAAATTAAATGGATGGACGGATGAATTAATGAGTTGTGAGTTTTTTTTTTGAAAATATGGTGTTTAAAGGTAGATGATGTAGAAATTAAATTATATGAACAAGCTAAGAGACAATATTTGGATTATAAATTGTAATATGAGAAAGGCTAAAGTCGCTAATAAAAAATTAACAAAATACACACTGTTACAACTTTTGTATGGATTACAACGGACGGGGAAGATGAACGGCCTCGGAAAATAAAAAAAATTCTGAATTTATAACTTATTCAGAATATTACAAGATAAACAGAATTGAAAATAAATTTATATATCTTCAAACAGCCTTGTTGTATGAGGACATTAAGCACTGGACATCAAGGACATTATGCACTAGGGCAGAATGCAGCGAGGTCTTTATGAACTAAACTTGCAAAACAAAACACCGTGAAGGACAGCGGAGTCGCCGGAGCTGTCCTTAAGGTAGTAGTGCCCGCCTACCGTACCGGAAAAACGTGGGCACTCTCCTCCCAGGATAAAACCGCTATCGTGTGTGGAGATTGTACGGACCAACCACACACCAACGAACAAGAACAACGTAAGAACGTTGACGACAAAAAATTTTAGGGGAGATGGCCGGAAAATTTTGCCGGAAAATCAAGAGCTCTCTCTAAATATTTGACAAGAAAGTTTTCCCTTTCTTTTCCCTTTCTTTCTCACGTATGGCACACAAGAAAAGAGAAGAGAGCCTTTGATTTTTATAGATAAGCTATTTTAAAAAGTGTAACCTATACACAATAAAGCTTAGTAGTATTGATGGCATTTGTGGCACACTAATGGTGTGTTAATGGTGATTAATTAGCCATTAACACGTCCGTTACGCTACGCTCCGTTTAAAATTTGTCCCGAATAATTGGAGATAAATGGCCAGTTAACTCCATAAAAATGGACTAATTTTAAACAATACGTAAAATTAATAAAAGAAGATTGGTTCAGAAAAATTGCAAAAATGCAATCTTTACCATATTCTTTTATTAACAGGTTAACTCTGAGAATTAATTTCTTATTCACCCTCTACCATTTTTTTGGCGTATAAATTGTCAAAACATTTATCTCATTTAAGAGAACACACGTCCATTAATTAACGGTTAAAACCGTTAGTGGACCTATTGATAAATATACCCAAGTTGGTCCATTTAATGCCTATTAAAAATGCCAAAAATTCAAACAATCCCCCACATGAATGAAAAATTGATTTGCGGTCGACAACATGCCCCTTGTAAAGTATACCTTCTTTACTGGCTGTTCAGTAGAACGCGATGTCTTTGAACTGTACTGCCGCTTGTGTAAACGATAGTATACAATACTTAAATTCCAACCAAACGTCATTCTGTTCTCATGGTTGTGCCCATTTTGGTCGTGGGACACGCGCCTGGGTCTGCGAGAGTGTTTAGAGGATTAAGCCCAAGATCCTCCGTTTGAAGCGACCACACTTCACTCTTACATAGGTTATTCTTTAAGAGTATCCCGATTACTCCACTTAGACCACCGTGTCTATTGATTAAGAATCATTAAAGCATATTTATATGCTAGCCTCATCATTTTCGGGAGTCACTGTCTTCAGCAGGAACAGAAGGGACTGACCGGAGGTTCCGGTACCGCCCCCACACTGACCATGCTTAATCCTACAAGTAGGTTGTCCCATTGAACCTGGGTACCAGCAAGGTTGGGTTTTCCTTCATGGGACTATCCTAGCACAAGGGCTTCAAACCCATTCCTGCCACCAACTTCTCATGCAACTCAATTGTTAACCCTTTGGTTAGCAGATCCACCAGATTATCTTTTGACTTCACATAGTCAATTGTAATAATCCCAGTTGTTAGAAGTTGTCTAATGGTTTTGTGTCTACGACGAATATGTATAGACTTACCATTATACATGTTACTCTTTGCATGCGTTCTTATGTATTTCTGAATCATCAGACCTATACACTAAGAATCGATACGCGCTCCCACTCTAGCCAATAAAGATTCCATCAATGGTCTTTGGACCAATCTTTATTTCCTTTAGTGGTGGTGCTAAAACTTTTGCAAGGCACCCCCACACTTTCAGGTATTTATAGTAAGGTTTCCTATTACACCACAACTCGTAAGAAGTCTTAACGAGTTTTTTTAGGGTATTTTATTTAACAAATAATTGCTAGATAAAACAGCCTCCTTTAGGACCAATTTTCTTCTTGTCCTTGTTTGGCGTAGGCCCTTTGGAAGAACCCTCTTTGAGTGGATGCTCCACCACATTGGCCTGAACTGTTGGCTCGTCCGCGTTCTCCCCCACAACAGGGGATCCTCCCTCAAGTACCTCGCAAGGTTGAGGGTGGTTAGCCAAAATAACATCCTTTGCTGCCATATTTTAAAACCAACACCTGTGAACTTTGCCGGTAATTTGACAGAGTTCGCAGGCAGCATGACGGTAGGATGTCCGACCAGTGCGGATGTGAAGACACCCGTGTTTGGTCCAAGTGAGGGAATGATCGGTATGGCCGAAGCCATATTCGGTCCGAGTGGGGTGACCATTGCGGCCGTAGCCGCGGTTGGTCCAATAACCGAGGTGACCGGAGCGGACCCCATAGTCGCGCTCGATCCAACGAAGGTGGTGATCGGAGTGGACCCATGGCCGCACTCGATCCAAAAGGAATGTTGATCGTAGTGGTCTGCCCAACAGAGCCACTCAATCCAGACGAAACGTTCACAACCAGAGTCTCGGAACTACTCCCGTTTCTAGTGTGAGCGTTCAAACCAAATCCGTCCATACCCGCCATCGTGCACGGATATGACTACTACCTTAAGATTGTTACAATTTTTGTACGGATTACAACGGACGGGGAAGATGAATGGCCTCGAAAAATAAAAAAATTCTGAATTTATAACTTATTCAGAATATTACAAGATAAACAGAATTGAAAATAAATTTATATATCTTCAAACAGCATTGTTGTATGAGGACATTAAGCACTGGACATCAAGGACATTATGCACTGGGCTGCGAGGACATTATGCACTAGGGCAGAATGCAGCGAGGTCTTTATGAACTAAACCTGCAAAACAAAACACTGTGACGGACAGCGGAGTCGCCGGAGCTGTCCTTAAGGTAGTAGTGCCCGCCTACCGTACCGGAAAAACGTGGGCACTCTCCTCCCAGGATAAAACCTCTATCGTGGGTGGAGATTGTACGGACCAACCACACATCAACGAACAAGAACAACGTAGGAACGTTGACGACAAAAAACTTTAAGGGAGATGGCCGAAAAATTTGGCCAGAAAATCAAGAGCTCTCTCTAAATATTTGACAAGAAAGTTTTCCCTTTCTTTTCCCTTTCTTTCTCACGTATGGCACACAAGAAAAGAGAAGAGAGCCTATGATTTTTATAGCTAAGCTATTTTAAAAAGTGTAACCTATACACAATAAAGCTTAGTAATAATGATGGCATTTGTGGCACACTAATGGTGTGTTAATGGCGATTAATTAGCCATTAACACGTCCGTTACGCTACGCTCCGTTTAAAATTTGTCCCGAATAATTGGAGATTAATGGTCAGTTAACTCCATAAAAATGGACTAATTTTAAACAATACGTAAAATTAATAAAAGAAGATTGGTTCAGAAAATTTGCAAAAATGCAATCCTTACCATATTCTTTTATTAACATGTTAACTCTGAGAATCAATTTCTCATTCACCCTCTACCATTTTTTTAGCGTATAAATTGTCAAAACATTTATCTCATTTAAGAGAACACACGTCCATTAATTAACGGTTAAAACCGTTAGTGGACCTATTGATAAATATACCCAAGTTGGTCCATTTAATGCCTATTAAAAATGCCAAAAATTTCAACACACACTCCTACAATTTGTGGACTCTACCAAAAGAAAAAAATGATTTAATTTTCAATAAGTAGTCCCTCCTATCATTAATTTTTTTCTCAGTTTTCATTTTTTATGGTCTAAAAATTTCTTTCATGTTTCCTATTTTGCCAAAAAACTTATAATGAATGTGTCATTCTACCTCTACCTTTTTATCTACAATGTAATATTCACTTTATTACGAAGTACATAAGATCAAAGGCAACACATTGAAGTCTTTACACTTTTTTACTTTTCTTAATCTCGGTGTCAAATCAAATTGGGAATTTTTTTTTTTTTGCACAAATTGAGTAATAAACAGAAATTCAAAATACACAAATAAAGAATGGAAGTGTTGTAATGAAAAGGGGCGAAAGGAATAAAATTGGGTGCAAGGCAAATTTGTGTGGAGAGAGGTATTAGGGAGATGGAGTATATAAGAGTGTTACCTCGGGCACCAAATGACCCAAAAGCGGGGCCCATCCTGTCCCTATCAGCTGCTGCAAAGAATCCAAAAGGCTGAGAATAATAAATCGAAGAATGAGAAGGCTCATTTGACGACAGCGTGGCCCACCGTACTCCAACCGCTGACCGCCCTTTTCCACAGCCTATAAATTGCCTCCGCACAGCTCTATATTCTCTAACTCCCTCTCCACTCTACTCTTTATTGATCTCTTCACCGAATCTCAGATTTAGTTTTTTATTTTTATTTCATTTCTTCTTCTTCTTCTTTATTTTATTTTTGAAAGAGACAAGAAAATGATGCATAGGTGCAGTGGCGACTGCCCTTGTGGCACCTACAATCAATACCAGGGCAACGATTCATTCTCAATGTTCTCATTCTCCATGCCAAATAACAATGACCATCATCATCATCCCCATCATCAGTATAATAATTACTACAAACCTGCAGACTATTACGAAGAGGCGGCCGCTTATGATAGTTATTATGATGACCAAAATGTGTACTCTTCGGTGGACTGCACACTCTCCCTCGGAACGCCTTCCACGCGTCTCGGCGGTAATGCGAATGAAAGGCCGCCACAGGACGCTGCAGAATCCCGCCGAGTAAAGCCGTCCGGCGGCCGTGGCGGGGCTTCCGGCAGCTCTGATCCTCTCGCCACACGCCGCTGTGCTAACTGTGACACAACTTCCACTCCCTTATGGAGGAATGGACCCAGAGGCCCTAAGGTAACTTTTGGTTTTGTTTTTTTTTTTTTGGCTTTCCTTCTTGATTATATCAATGTTGACCGCCCGCCGTAAATAATTTACTTTTATCCGGCCAGTAATTTGGATTCAACCAAAAAAATTTGTACTTTACTTGTTTTTGAAAGAAAAAAAAACATTTTCTTCATAAAGAGATTTCTAAATTATGAAATGAATCACAAATAATTAAATGGTTAATGATGTGCAGTCGCTTTGCAATGCGTGTGGAATTCGGTTCAAGAAAGAGGAGAAGAGAGCAGCGGCCGCAGCGGAGGCGGCTAACAATGGCGGAAGGGAGAGCATGAGGGAGTCGTGGCCGGGGGCGGCACACCACAGTCAAATGCCGTACAATAACTACGCTTCACCTGCAGCATACGGTAACGAGTTCGGTTATATGGAGGACGACGAAGATCGGGATTCGGCTACCTTCCTCTCCTGGCGTCTTAACGTCCACTATTGCTCGTAGCTAGCTAGCCTGAGTGTAATTGTTGAAATTAATACGATCGAGATGAGGAATTCTTCTTCTTCTTTTCTTTTTTTTTTTTTGAAATTATTTGTCCGTTTTGTTTTTTAAAGTGATTTTGGACAGTGTTTGGGGAATGATGCAAAATCAGCATGGGGCAAGTCTTATGTAATTTTGGCGTTTAGTCATGAACCTTTCATTTCTTTTTAGGAGTACGTGGTCAGTTTAATTTATGACAAGTTGAGAGTCAAGATGAAGAAGCCCTACTTCTTTACCTTTCCACTTTGAATAGATTTATATATACTCTCTAGACCAATGGCTAGATGTACTAACTCAGGTTCGTTGTAACTCAGATTCTACCCATGCCAGCACTATTCCAATCACTTGCGGATCTACTCTTTGTTTACCAGGGACATCAGCCCCCGGTCAATTTCTTTTTTTATACGGAGTAGTATATAGTATAAAAAAAAAAAAAAATTTAAAAGTGTGCCCACAGTGAAAACAATTTATAACGCTAAAATATTTTATGCCCTGAAAAAAAATTTAATTCCAAAAGAAAAGTAAAACTATTTAAATAGAAAATAAAGCTAAAATATTTTTAATATTAAAATTACATCAAATTGAATATATTATGTAATTCCTTCACTATTATTTTTTTTATTTTTGAAATATTTTGTTTTAATCTACTTTTGAAACATATTTTTTTTAGTTATTTTAAACTCGTTTGATACAAAATTTATTTTTCATCATAATTTAAAAGTGCATTTAAAAAAATTTCTGGGCCGCTACTCCCGACCCCATGTTACTACCGCCCCCCGTCATTCCTATTTCTAGATAAGCCGCTGCATCCATTTACATATTTTTTTGGAAAATGCTAGGATGCCACCAAATGGTTGCTATCATGGGTGCACCCAAGCTTTGCACATATTATTATCATCTGTGTCGCACAGATAGTTATCATCTTTGTTATCTGTGCGAAACTTGGTAGCAACCATTTGGGGCACCCTAGCATGGCCCTATTTTTATCCATTCATCAAATGTTTTTGTTAAATATATCAATTATTTAATATATTTAATATTATATATTATAATTATGGTTGTTACCTATTATAGTTAGAGTTATTATTATATAATATTACCTTATATAATTAGTCATTAATGTGGAGGATTCTGGAATATATTCCTCCACCTATAAATACAGACTTTGTATTCCTCTCTTAGTCATTCAATCAATAAAGCGTAATTTATTATTTTTACATGGTATCGAAGCCTTCGCTCTTGGTGACCTAATACATTCCGCTTCCTCCGCTGCCATCGCCGGTGATTTATCCAGTGACGGTGGGCCTCACTCCCACTTGTTCCTCCAATTATGATCTGTCATACTCCTCCATCCGGCTCTGGATCCATTGCAACCGCTTCCTGCTTTAGATCATATCATCACCTCAACCTGCTTAGTCGGAAGATCTTCGGTCAACATGCATCTCCGGAAGTACCTCATTCCTTGTGTTTCTTCTCTAACCAGTCACGCACGACTCCAGCGTACGTCAATCTTCTCCCTTCTTCGACGTCAGCGGCATGAGTCTGTCCGCAGCGGCTCTTCTCCCATCCTCCTCGAAGTAGGCACATTTCTTTTCCAACAATCATTCTTCTTCTTTTATGGTCCGGTTTCATTCAGTCTACTCTAGTGGAAGATATGTCTCTAGTTTCTAATCACGACTCTGATCATCATTCAATTTAATGTTGGCATTCAATCTTCACCGTTAAATGTATCAATTGTTTAATATATTTAATATTATATATTATAATTGTGGTTGTTACCTATTATAGTTAGAGTTATTATTATATAATACTACCTCCGTCCCAAAAAGATTTACACATTTTGACTAAAGTTGAAATTAAGGGAGGGATAATTTTGTGTTAACTTTCCAAAATACCCTTGATGTGATGGATAAAAGTAAGATGTGATGTGTAGATTATTAGAAAAAAAGTATGACGTGATAGGTAGGGTTTGAAAAAGTAAGGGGGTAAAAGTGGTTTTTTAATAGAAATGAGTAGGAGATTGTGGGACGCAATTTTTTTGTAAGGTGTAAATCTTTTTGGGACGGAGGGAGTATTACTTTATATAATTAGTCATTAATGTGGAGAATTCTAGAATATATACCTCCACTTAATTAATCAGCATAAAATACTTAATTAAGGTACTTAATTAGCATACAAAGTAAAACGGAATACTTGGCATAACAAAACTATCATTTTTGGAAAAATTAATAAATAACAAATAAACTTAGTTCTTGAAATCCTCAAATAAAAACATCGCTACTTGTCAACACCCTTGGAGATCAAAGCATTTTCCAACTCTGGTTCATCAAGGGAGAGTTCTGCAAACTCTAAAAACTGAGTATCATCAAAAGAGTCAATTTGTCACCACCCACATCCCACATCTTCGTCTTTTCTTTTTCATATTGACTAGAACTTCTAGATAAAATACGTAGATTGTTATGAACAAAAACCAAATCTTTGGCACAACTTGGATTTAACCTATTTCTCTTCAACGAATGAATAAAAGAGTATGTACTCCAATTTTGTTCAAAACAAGAAGAAGATGATGGCTGCCCAAGCATTTTGAATGCTAAAGGGGAGCTTCATCACCAATGTTAGCCCACCAATATAATTCTTAGGATCCGAGATGTATCTCATTGAAAGAGATGTTAAATCATCAAAAGCTCTACTCTTCAGTGAAGATTATGCATATTCTTCAAGAACTTTAGTATGCTCCTCATCATTCGGAAATAACCTACGAAAGCATTTAATCCTTTCTCTTGAAATTTCAATATCTCGATGAGGAGCTACTCTATTGGAATCTTCATTCAACCATCCATTGCTATAAAACCTTCAAGATGTAAGATGATATTAAAGATAACACATGTCAATAAAAAATATGGTGTAGTAAAATAAAAATAAACTTAAAGAATACCTTGGATTTAACGAGTGAGCAAGACAATGAAGTGGAGTTGCAATCATAACAGTACCAGTACGGAGTTTTCAATGTTGCGGAAGCTTAACGAAACACAATCTTAAAACATAATTAATTATGTTCTTTAATTCAAAACCATCACATCCATCCCGACAATCTCGCCTCTATCTGCCTCCAGGATCATGTCACATCATTCTTTCTATCTACCTGCGTGTAACAAATAAAACACACTACACGCTCAGCTTTGAAGCTGAGTAAGGATATCTAATGTATCGAACATCCATATAAATTGAATCTCAATTCATAATCAAACCATTTGATATCATGCACATAATATTCAATTCAAACATTCATCATTCATGATATTCACAGTAATTTACTTTGAGTCATTTCTTGATATATACAATATTTAATATTCATTATTTCAACAGTGCTCTTAAATTATTCTTAATCTAAGGCCAAATCATTTTAATAACAAGCTCTAAAACTATTCTTAGTCTAAGGCACTAATTTTAACAAACTCTTAAACTAGTCTAGTTTAAGGTACAATTTTTCAAAAAGGTTTTCCAACTGTTAACCCTAGCCTTAGCTTAAGGTACACAATGAACCGAACAGCGGACTACTGACCGTCGCATTGGGTGGTACCACCAAATGAGTAGGTACTCAAATTTGGTTTGTGGATCCCATAAGTACGTTTTAACCCTGGCCACTGGACATCATACCCGCAAGGCCTAACTAAATGGGTATACCTTAGAGTTTTTCTAGATACCCTTAAAATCAATATCAATTAACTAAATTGGTCATTTGGGTATATCTTAGAGTTCTTCTAGATACCCTTAAAAATCAATATCAATATGGGTATATCTTAGAGTTATTCTAGATATCCTTAACAATACACATAATTTTCATAATAATTAATATATTCAATTTGATTCATAGTTCAAGAATTCATAACCATCATTTTATTCAAAATATTCATCAAGGTTTGATCATAATCAACATTCAATAATAATCATCACAATATCAAATAACAACTAGTGGCCTAGCGTCGAGTGTTAACACCCTAGCTTACTGTCATGCATCAAACATGAGTCTTGAATTTGTCAAAACATCATACTTATTTCCAGAAATCATTTTTATATTGATCATAATTGATTGGTATCAAAAATAGGATTCAATAGTTCAAAAGTCAGGTTTTTGGATTCTGGACGGTACCCGTTGCGGTACCTCATTACAGACCGCTGCCAACCACCGCCAGAGGAGAAAGCATCCGACAGTAGGAGGCTACCATTGCCACGGTATAGCCTACCGTGCTGGCGGTACCTAGGTACTGTCCGGGCGCTATGGTGATACCATACTGCGCCTAGTTTTAAACAGTGTAATCTTCAACCTCGGGCCAATTTTCTGAAATGTCATTTTAAGTCACCAAACTTCAATTAAACTGTATATAAATGTTCTCCAAGGTTCATAGGTCATTTTGGCATCATAGGTTTGTAATTTTGACGACAATTTCAAGGTTTATGATTCTTAATTCTTCAAACATGTCAAACACAAAACTCAACCAAACAACCAATTATGAACGTAGATACGATCTATACGAATATTCTAGTCACTAGATATATCTAAGGGCTTACCTCGGGCTTAAACAGAGGTTTTGGATATTTTCCGGCGATACTTCCGGCGAGCTTTGTGGCTAGCTCTGGCGACCTCTCACCAAATTGACAGCACCAGTGTACTCCAGCAGGGAACATAATAGAAGAAAAAATTATAGAGAATGGTGGAGAAATGAAGAATTAAGCATGTCTTATATATATGAGGAGTTTGGAGAAGAAGCCAATGGTTCCCGCGTCACTCGATCGACGAATTTCCTTATTGCGCGTTAGTGGATTCGGAGGCACCATTTGTACACACCTCCCCTAATTGGGACGAATTTTGGCCCCAATCGGGGTACACTTTTTGGTACAAGTTTCTCCAAATTGAATTCCGTTTGCACCGTTACGATCGGACGGTCAAACTCTATCTAACGATCTAGTTTTTATATTTATTTGTAATACTTTTTCTAACATCATAGTTTTGGGTGTTTGACTTTTTCCGACATCAAAAAGGTTTTCACATTTAATTCACATTATTTTTTCTCATGATTTATTTCAATAAATCATTTTAAAGTTCACATCATTAATCAAATTCTTTTTTATTCTTAATTTGGGTTTGTACTCTAGATCCCAATCAAGATCACACATATAGTCAACATATTGGATTTATATGTATGAGATTTATCCAGATTGTGATATTGGATATCAAAACATATTTCATTTCAGACCAAAGCCCAACAATAGTTATTTTAATCAAAAAAAAATTATTTAATTGAGTGATAAATCAATAAGAATTTTAGGGTATGTATTAGGGTGTTACATTTCTTTCCCCCTTAAAGAAATTTCCTCCTCGAAATTTTTCTAAGGTTCCACACTCAACATCTTGTTGTATTCACTTTAATAATGACTGCATCATGTTCATTTAGCTAAATCACAATTACGTCGTTATCCACACAGATACGTATTCTCAAACCATTGATGTTATCAACTCGTTCTATTTTCGAGAGATCAATAGTCTTTGATTAAGCAAGGTATCCAACGATCCTTTCTATAGATTTCCGTCAGTGTCAGGAACTAAGGTTTCTTCGCAGTGTATAACATTGTATACTTGGCATGTTTCCACATAACTTCGTTCGTTCACAATTCTCAATTGTACGTCATTGGTCAATAATATTCTTTCTTTGATTGAAAATTCTTCAATAGCTTTTGTAGTTTCGAATCATCACATTCATGGTAGGTATAGTTGGGGATTTGGAGTTTGTTGCAATTTATACATCGTAGTGTAACCTTTCAAGTCACTCAAGACATCTTCACATTGTTCATATAGTTCAGAAATGACTCGTAAGTAACATCAAATGGCTTTATTGGTTCGGGATTTTCAGAATATGGGATTTTGTTACATTGCATGGTTGGGATTGCAATGTGAACTCTTATGACATTAAATTTATTTTCTTTACAAATTATTGTTACAGATATAAAAATAAAGCTTACTTATTTAAAAATTATAGAAAACTATTTACAAATTATGAGGTGACAATATTATTTTATTTTATGAAATGATAAATTAAAATATTAAGAGCTTGTTCTCTTTAACTTATTATTTTTACTTATACATATTCTTATTTGAATAAGATCAGAAATAACTTTAAATATATATAACTACGATTAAAACTGATAAGATTTGATCAAGAACTTTTGAATAGATTAGAGTCAATAAGATAAGTTAAAGAGAACACACCCTAGACCATTGTTTGGTTAGTGAGGAAATGATCAGAAAGAAAAGATACAATTTCTTAGGTTTGGATGAGAAAGAAAAAATTGGGAAAAGACAAAAAATGTGGGACCCATATATTATAAAATTGTCATTTTTCTTATATTTTCTCTCCATTTTTTACCATATTTTATCGATCTAAACTCTAAACTTTTTCTTTTCATTTTCTCACCATTTTCTTACTTCTCATTTTCTTTCCTCTCATTTTCTCTTTTCATTCAAATTTCAAACAAACCATAAATAATCAAAAGTACTACTCCGTATTAGGAGGCCATTAGCGCATAACTGTAATTCATTCCTACGCTAAATAAATATATTCTGGAGTAGAAATATGTCATATTTCAAAATTACTTTTCAGAGTAAATATATGGGTATTAAATTTATATATATAATGTAATCTACTTTTCTACGTATTGAGTGAAAAGATTAAAAACATTGATAAAATAAAAGTAAATTGGAAGAAGATATGTGGAGTGAGAGACTATAGTACTGAACACTACTAGCTTGTAGTTCCTTGTTACTTTTATCCTCTGTCCACTTCACTCACATAGATTAGCTTGGCTTATACTTTTCTTGGAACGTGATCTACTCATTTACTTTATGTCTTCTGAATATTCCCTCAACTCCGTTTCCATTTCCAAGAGATTCTGCTGGCTGGTACGCCCACATTCAACTCCTCTCCCTTTAATTACAAATTTAAAAATAGAAAAGTAACCCGCGTCTCGGCTCTGGAGAAAATCGGCGACACAAAGCTCCCTTCGGCGATCTTTTTTTCCGGCCAATATGGATGTCCAACGGCTACCGGACCCTCACCCCCGACCTCCTGATCCTCTGCCGGTCAGTTTGGTACCAGTCACAACCATCTTTGACGCCGGGAACCACCAGATCGCAACCTCCCTGCAAGTTGCTGCCGCACCATTTTTTCCGGCGTCTACAAGGAACGATGGCACTCCTCCTTCTTGACGGGTTGAAACTGGGTCGGGTTCTTTTGACGGGTTCACTTCGTTTTTGGTGTCTCAAGGCTTGTGTAGTGTCGCGGACCACTCCCACTGCATTCCTCAGGTCATTGCGCAGCCCCAGCACCCACCCATGGCAAACTTGAGATCTGGTCCAAATCCCTTGAATTTTGGGTCGTCTTCTTCAACGGCTATGGCTGCCCAGGTTCACCCCTCTCCCTCTACGGTTTTGGCATCACTTCCTGCTGTTTTAGGGGTTCATTCAAGCCACCTTATTTCTGCCATACCTCCATGGAACGTTGGTTATGGGGCAAATCATCCCAATGCATTGATTTCTTCCTGCACGCCACCTGTTCGACAATATGAGTTCCCCAATTGCACACTCTGATTTCATGCAAGTAAAGGTTCCTATCCATGCCTTTACTCAGTTTAATATGAACAATGTGCCTGGGCTTGAATTAAAAGGCGCCGTTGATGACTCTCATGTGTAGGTGCATGTGCAGACTGGGTTTCTTTGGGAACTTTTATCAAATAGGTTGTGAGCAACCTTAATAAGAAGAAATATTTGAAACCAATATAAATTGGAGAACTCAGGAAATCAACAGAGGAACCAGAGAAGAACTTGATAATATATTATTCCATAGGAAAGCCAATTTATAGGCTCTGAAAACAGAGAAAGTGGATACAAACTAAATTAACTAGAAACAAGGAAATCCACAGAATGTGGCCAGCTACTTCCTTAAGAATAGGACAAAATAGTTTACTAAAGAGATACTGACATATTCAATAATACTACTAAAAATACTGACTTGTTCCAAGACTTATTCAACAGCATGTCCCTCTCTCCTCATTTGCGCAATTACAACGTGAAGAGGTCCCTGGTGCTGTTCCTATGGCACTTACATGATCAGATGGGTATGTTTATGGTGAGGAACAACCTCCTGTGGCTGCTTCTCAGGTTCCACCCATTTCTCACGTTCCTTCCTCTTATACGGGCCTACATCCTTATTTATTTAAACCCCTTAATTTGGAACTTCCATATGAGAGGAAGGCACGGTTAGCTCAGTCCTTGGTGGGTATCAATGCACATAAGGAAGACCCTGCAAACCGTAGCCATGCCAAAACACAAAGTGCATGTGGACATTGGCAAGGACACGTCCCATGCACACGTGGGGACTACAACTGCGGCTAATACTTTGGTGGGGCACAATTCTCAAGGGCAGCTCACAGGTGCTCCTATGACTAATGAGGCGGCTGCACTGACTTCTAAAAACTCTCCAAGTTTATTGGGTCCAGGCCTTCCTCCCGTGTCCCACTACCATGGCAGTAACTCCCCATGCAGCAAACCATGCACGGTTGGGGGGTTCAAGAGAGGTCTCATTTGCACCTCCTCATGCTCAACCCAAGGAGAGCCAGGTGGTTACTTTTGCCCCTGGTGACGTAGCTTCAAAAGGTAAAAATTGGGTCCCCTCACAGAAATTGGATGCTCAAATCACACGGCCACGGGGACCACCCAATGCACCTAAGCCATCTTTTGCACAAGCCGTGGTAGGTCCAACGACGCCAGGTATCTCTTTACGGGCCAATGTTTCCCGCCCTTGTGCTATTTTATCCAATGTGGTCGTTGAGGACAAAGTTCCCACTTTTCATAGAGGTACGCCTGCTGTTGTTTTTAACAAATCTGAAATGCAACAACTTTCTCAATTGGATAATTTTCTTTTGATTGGTAAATTTTCTCATGGTCGTCCAGAAATTGCCACTTTGAGGAAGTTGTTTGCAATACAATTTATTCTTAGGGAGTCTGTTCAGATTAGTCTTCGTGACCCACGACATGTTATGCTCTTATTCACCCACCCCCAAGACTGTAATGATATATTTATGCAAGGGCAGATTCAGTTTAATGGGCACTTTCCTATGAGATTGTTCAGGTGGTCTCCGGAGTTTAATGTTAAGACTGAATCTCCCGGTGCGCTGGTGTGGGTGACGTTTCCCAATTTGAGGGCAGACCTTTTTAATGAAAGTGCCATCCGCCAGCTCTGTAAGCCCATTAGGAGGTGCTTGAAAGTGGACGTAGCTACATCCATTTTTTCACGTACCAATGTGGCTAAGGCTTGGGTGGAGATAGACTTGTTGAATCCTAGGATTGAACAAATATGGATTCGTTTTTCGAATGAGCCTGGCGAGGAAGATGTGGGCATGTTCCAACCTGTGGAATATGAACGCATTCCAAAGTAATGTACTTCATGCTTTAAACAGGGACACGATAGCGTTTCGTAGGAGTCGTGCTAGGCGCCAAAGGGCGGGGAAAGGTATTCCTATTGCTGATACAGGGATAGGTAAAGGTGACTCCAAACTTGAGGGGTCACAGCATGTCTGGATGGAGAAGACGGCGAAAGGCTTTAAGCCTCTCTCAGCCGTAAATGTTGGTGAGTTTGAAAAAGGCGAGGGATCCTCTTCCACTTTGCAGCCTTTTGAGCCCACTTCTTCACATCCCTCCCCAAACGTTGTTGTATCTGATTCTAGTTTGATTCTTTCTTCTGTTAACGCCACCATTCCCACACATGTTGTGGTTGAGCAGTCGGCGTCTTTGACTATCGAGCCATCTGTTCCTCCTACCGTAGTTGAGCAAGGCTTTTTTGTTGCTCATTCTCCCCTCCCTACTTCTTCCCCTTCTCCTATTGTACATGTTCCCGATCCTCCATCTCTAGAGCTCGATCTTACCGCGTCTAATGCTTTTGATGCTTTGGGGGAGTTACCTGGGGACAGTCATGAAGTCATGATGTCTGTGGTTTTAATACGACTGTGAACTCTGTTCCTTCAATGTCTTCCGTGCAGGAAAATGTCGAAGATGGATATGTTTCACAGACTAGTGACGGGTCCACAAGTAATCATTGAGGATCCCACTGATACTGCACGTGACATGGCCGCTAGAGGGGTCTCCCCGGCTCGGGGGAAAACCTATTCTACGCAGTCAAAGCTAAGCCATATAACACAGCACCTAAGAATGGAGTGGGGAATGCTACGCACCGATCCACTCGTTCTACCTCCACTTCTAAATGATGCGGTTCCTAATTTGGAACATGAGGAGTATCACCTCATACAGTGTCCTTTCTAAGCTTCGGATTTTACTCAAACAGCACACTCTAGTGTTGTTGGGTATATTGGAGCCTATGAAGGCGCCCTCGCAGCTTGACTATTATAAGACGCTGTTGGGTTTCACGGGAGCTCATTGTGGTGCTCTGGATCACATTTGGCTCTTTTGGGACTTTGACATTGCACCGTTTGTTCATTGTATATCCTCTTTTGATTAGTCTATCACTCTCTCCTTTTCTCACCCTTCTTTTCCTATCCCTCTTTGGCTTTCAGTTGTTTATGCTAAGTGTAAGTACAGGGACAAGGAGCCGCTTTGGGAGTATTTGCGGGAGACACACACTGCCCTCCCGGCTGACATGGCTTGGGGCGTAGTGGGTGACTTCAATTATTTGCTTGATCCTTTAGAAAAGCAGGGGGACGGCCATATGCACTAGTTAAGTACCGTCCCTTTGATGAATGTGTTGAAGATTGTGAGCTGATGGATGCCCCTTTCACTGGAGCTGATTTCACGTGGTACAATAATTGTGAGGGGGTGTCGAGATATGGAGTAGATTAGATCGGTTGCTCTTTAACTGGTCATGGATGGATATGTTTCGTTGTTTGGTGCATCACTTGGACTGTATCGGATTCGATCATGCTCCTCTGTTGGTTGATTGTAGTCCTCACGAGCGTCCTAGTGCACGCCCCTGTGTTTTTCTCAATGTGTGGACTGAGCATGATGATTTTAAGTGAGTGGTCTCTGAGTCATGGATGGCAGATATTGATAGTGGTCCCATGTATGTTTTTGGGTCTAAATTGAAGCGGCTAGCCCAGGCTTTGCGGGGATGGAACCGGGACACTTTTGGTCATATATTTGACAAGCTCAAGGCGCTAGAGCAAGACGTACCAGACATCGAGGCAGTACTTGAGACCGCTCCCACGGATGAGGCATATGTGGAGTTCAGGCGTCGCTCAGCGCTTTTGACGCGCCAGTACCGAGTGGAGGATGATTATTGGTGGCAGAAAGCTCATACGAAGTGGGTCCTTGATGGGGAGCGTAACTACGGATATTTTCATGTTATTGTCAAGGATCGACACAGAAAGCTCTACATTCATCGCATTCAGGGGGTTGGGAGTGAGTGGATTACACATAGAGCCATGATTGCAGGACAGGCGATCGATTTTTTTCCAGACAATGTTCACTGCAGATCCTATGGTCGCCCATGCCCATCTTGATTTCATTCCACGACTTGTCACTGAGGATGACAATTCAACATTATGTTCTGTGCCGGAATTAGAGGAGATTAAAGTTGCTGTTTTTTCCGTGGATTCCCAAAGTGCAGCTGGTTCTGATGGTTTTACTGGAGCCTTTTATAAGGCGGCATGAGAGATTATTTCTTCTGATTTGGTGTGGATGGTGCAGGCATTCTTCCTTGGTTGTGATCTTACTCGGACCATCACACACACGGCTATGTCCTCTTGCCTAAGAGACCCAGTCCTGCCACCTTTGCTGACTTTCGGCCTATCAATCTCTGTAATTATTGCAATAAGGTCATCACCAAGATTATGGTGGTGAGGTTGTCCTCAGTGCTTCGACGTTTGCTCTCGCCACACTAGAGTGGTTTTGTTGCTGGCCGGTCCATCACTGACAATATTCTCTTGGCCTAGGAGATGTGTCATGGCATGCACGTTGATAATGAGGGCGTGATTCTCAAGCTTGATATGATGAAAGCTTATGATCGCGTTTCTTGGTATTTTCTGATGTCGGTGATTCGTCAGTTTGGTTTTCCCGAGACATGGATTGACTTGGTGTATCGGGCCATTTCTAATATTTGGTACTCCGTTATCATTAATGGGATCAGACTATCAGAGAGGGCTTTTTCCATTCCACTCGCGGGCTGCAGCAGGGTGACCCACTTTCCCCGTCCTTATTTATTTTGTCAGCCGAGGTAGTATCTCTTTCTTTGGCACGGCTGTACTCTGATATGATGATTCCCAAATTCATGCAGCCTAGAGACGCACCCCATATTCACCACCTGGCATATGCTGATGATGTAGTCATTTTCACTTCAGCACGGGGTGATACTTTGGAGCGAGTGCGAGATGTCTTACATACTTATGAGCAGATGTCGGGGTAGGCCATTAGCTTTTCGAAGAGTGCATTCTATATGCATCCTAAAGCCTAGGCGCAGGTTCTTGATAGAGTTCGGGCTATTCTTGGTTGTGCTCAGGATGCCCTCCCTTTCACATATTTTGGTTGTCCCATCTATCACGGAAAGAAGCGCATACATTATTTTGAGCCGATATTGAAGAAGATGCGGGATAAGTGCTCTGCTTGGATGGGACGTTATCTTTCACCGGGGGGAAGGCTATTATGATTAAGAGTGTCATTCAGGCTATTCCTACACATCTCTTTGCAGCACATTTTCCTCCCAAGTCGGTGATTCGGGAGATGGAGTTGATCATGGCACGCTTTTTTTGGTCAGGCATGGGCGGTGCTCACCGTTAACATTGGGGTTCGTGGAGGACTTTGGCTTTGCTGTGTGGGGAGGGTGGTGTCGGGTTTTTGGACCTCACCACATTGGCCAGGGCTAGTTCGGCTAACTTCTCTTCCCTCCTTCCCTTCTTCTCTTCCCGCCCCCACACCCCCTTCCCTTCTTCCTTCTCCCTCCTCCTTTCTGAGTCATACCCAACAGTCTAAGGAAAGCAAAGTAATTTATTTTTAAAGTGATTATCAAATTTGGAAAATGACGAAACATGAAAAATAAAATAAAAAAATTAACGATAGGAGTATTAAATACGAGTAAGAATGATTCTTTGGTAAACTGAATAGCCACAAAATTTTGGTGGACGTTCTCATATAAAACTTATTTCTTCTTTTTTAAATAAAAACTAAATGTTGTTCATAGAATTAAAAAAATACCTCCTCTGTTTAAAAGACTCCGTTACCTTTCTTTTTTTACTTATCCCACAAAATCCTTCTCTTTTTTATTAAAAGACCTGCTTTTACTTTTATTAATTCTTAACATACCTATGACATCATATTTTTTTACTTATAACTACAATCACAGCCTACTTTTACTATCACATCAAGGATATTTTTGGAAAGTTAACACAAAAATATTTTTTCCTTTAAATTTTTCTAAAAGTAAAAAGGGAACATCTTTTTAGGACGTAGGAAGTACTAACTACACTCATTGTCTCAATTTGAATTGCATGTTGTTGTTTACGAGTTTTGACTGAAAGTAGCGAGTACTCATTTACGAGTAGGTGGAATAGTTATTTTCGAACAACTGAATACTCATTTTACAAGTAGTTTAATAAATATTTTTCTAAAATTTAGTTATGCTAAAAAAATAAATACTCTCGTACTCAAAAAATAAATATTTAGTTACTCGAAAATTAGTATTTATATAGATGTACATGAAACAGCATACAACTAAATATATAGTATAGGTACACGACGAAGGGAGGACGCTCATCTTGCACTGTGTACCTTAGATATAGCGTGGAATTGGCCTTAATTTAATAGGCAATGTTAGGGGTATCCCAAAATAGATATCTCATTTATACACATAATTTTTGCAAACAAAGATAAACATTGGGTGTTTCTGCACGTCCGTGAAGCCTTGATATACAAATAAGAAACTTGAATTTGATGTACCCCTAGGGGTAACCATTCATTTTGTAACCACAAATATTTTAGGATAATGCTACTTGCACCCCAAAAATACCCCAAATTGTACCCCAAAATAAACCCCCCCCCCCACCTTACACGTGCAAGTACCCCCCACACCTGCGAAGTAATCCCCCACCCAATTTCCCCCACCTAATCCCTCTGCCTCCTCGCCTAATTCCTCTTACTGTGTACGGTTCATCTCGTCTTCCGCCACCTGTGGTTTCGCCGCTGCCTTCCTCGCCTTTGCCCTCCTCGTCTCTGCTCTCTTCGCCGATTGTGTCCTCCTCGTCTAGCCTCATCGTCTCTGCCGTAGGTGCAACCTTTTTTCCTCGTCCACGCCGCCGATTGTGTCCTCCTCGTCTGGCCTCCTCGTCTCTGCCGTCGGTGCAAGCTGTCCTCCATCGTCCACGCTTACGCCGGTGGTCAGGTAATTGCTCCTCCTTTTTCAATTGCACCTTTTTGCTCTAACATTATTTACATTAGTGAAACCCTAAATGCAAAGCTATGTTATTTTCTACTTATTTGCTGCCAAATTCAGATATGCCTGGACAATTGTTGATTTTTGTTAACAATTTAAAAATTTCTTGTAGTAATTTTTGAAACTGCCTGTGCAAAGGGGTTTTTACATGCTATGTTCAATACACCTACACTTACTGTCCGTGTGCTATTGTTTTTTGTTCAATACACCAACACTAAATGTCTATGTCATACTCATCCTTTGATAGAATATTTAATTCAAACATTTTTTAATAGGAGTTCCTGCCTGTGCAAAGGGGTTTTTACATGCTATGTTCAATACACCTACACTTACTGTCCGTGTGCTATTGTTTTTTGTTCAATACACCAACACTAAATGTCTGTGTCATACTCATCCTTTGATAGAATATTTAATTCATACTAACATTTTTAATAGGAGTTCAAATATAATCCTAAAATAACGAAATCCTATTTGTTTAAGAAAAAAATAGTCATATAAGGGGGTTTTTACATGTTATGTTCAATACACCTACACTTACTGTCCGTGTCCTATTGTTTCTCTTCAATACACCAACACTAATAGTCTGTGTCCTACTCATCCTTTCATATAATATTTAACTGATACTAACATTTGTGTCAATGGAGTTCCAATACAATGCTAACATTTTAACTGATACACCTAACATTTTTTGTTTGAAATGTAGGTTTCTGTACAATGGCGTTGCAAATGGTAAATGCAGACCACTTCCAAGCACGGTATACATGCTATTCCGAGCTTCAGAAATCAGTTGACATAATCAAAAAGAAACTCACACCTTCAGACCTGGGTCACTTCAAGAAGGAGTCCCCTTTCGGCCACCTACTTGAGTACCCTCCATTGCAATTTTTGGCCCAAATCATCCATCTGTTGCTTGTGCACCTCACAAGAGAACAGGTAGATGATGAACTACGCTTTAACATAGGTGGTTCGATTTTAAAATTTGATTTCGGGGAATGGTGTCGCATTATTGGAATGCCCTCTACCAAGCTTTATGGAGAGGATGGTGGCGATGAGGATGAGGATTCTGCATCGGGGAGAATTCGGAAAAAATTTTTGGACAATGATAAGGGGAAAACAACATTTGCGCATGTGCGCAAATGTTTTCATGCTCTTGATGAAGAAAATGGGGGTGATGAAGTCCTTCAGTTTGCTAAGCTGTTTTTTGCGGAGTCCGTGTTACTAGCTAGAGACAAGGAGACCGGTCTTGAAATCCTATGTGCGTCCAATCCTTGAAAGACTACCTCCCCTTTTTCAAACTGTCAAAACTACCGAGCAACAGAGACGTACCCAGGCATGGGCAGTGGAGCTCCCCAAGGATGTGCCCCAGCAGTCTGATGGAAATGCGTGTGGCGTTATGATACTTGCATTTGCGGAGTACCTATTGGTCGGTTTGCCACTACTTCCTGACTGCACGTACGAACATGTGGACGACTTCCGTAGGCAATATGCAGCACGTATATATCGGAAGACAGTGGCCTAAAGATTGTGGAATATATATATATATTTTATTAACGCACAACTATGACGGCTTATCTCACCTTGCTAATATATGAAAGGCATTTTTTTAGCCTTGTATAGATTACTCTATGTATGAATATGTATTCACGCATGATCAAACATATAATTTTTTGTTTCCATGACATCTATGACTGCTGAAGTTATAAGTTTATTATCTCAATCAGTGTTGTTGTATTGAACAAAATCCTTATCCTAAAGATATTCAATGTCGGTGGTGTTTTTTATGAAATTAAAGACACAGGCACTTAGTGTTGGTGTATTGAAGCAAAATAATGGCACATGGACATTTAGTGTTGGTGTATTGAAGAGAATCAAAGGAAGAGTATGCCACAGACATTTAGTGTTGGTGTATTGAACAAAAAACAATAGCACACGGACAGTTAGTGTTGGTGGTTTATTTAACTAAAGCAGTGCAGTACTACAGCCTGACATTAAGCATAGCATAACCAACTACCAGCCTGACATTAACCAATGCTTTTTTTAACAATACAAGAGCACACACTCAGTAACACAACAAAACATATCCACTTCCACCCCGACAGTAAGTGTTGGTGTATTGAACAAAAAACAATTACATCAACATGTTAAACTGTTACATAGCAAAACTAGTATTTACATAGTGTTCAACTTGCCCACAAAATATGTTTATTTACATCATCTGTAAGTAGTGAATACAAAATATTACATAGTGATACTTACCAAAAAATGTGTGAGCAAATGCATAGCAAAATGTTAACAAAAAAAGATGGGCCATCTACCGATTCATAGCCTGAGATCAAGATTTGGGCAAGTTAGGTCATAGACACCATCTTCTCCCGGCCAATCCCACGTCGGCGTATTTTCACAACCTATGTCACCAACGCATGTAAAAAGGGTTGTGGATGGCTGTTCAGGGTTTCCCCGCTTGCTCTTGTTCACCTTACGTTGTTCACTACTTTTTTTCTTACCGTGATCATCTCGAATCTTCTTGTCTTGCTTTCTTTTCCTGTTTTTTGTCTCGAAAATAGATTTTAGCCTATTTTTCTTGGGGGCCCCTTTTCGTTTTGAATAAGTAGGGTCCAATATATCTTTGGTCAAAGTTTTGTCCAATTCCATGTTCTCGGGAATACGTTCGTCACTTGCCTTTCTCAGAGATGGGATAAGCATTTGTTTATCGATCCAAGCCACAATATCTTTTGTGCGTTCCTCATCATCAGCTGCGATCTGGGCAAATTCTTGGAACTTTGCACAAAGCATGTCACACCTCCTTTGCTCAACTGTACGGGGCAATCCATCATATTCCATCCGAACAACTGTGTAACTCCTCTTAATATCTCGCCGCCATCTACTGAGAATATACGTATCTGGAAGGACTTTTACATCGTTTTGGATTAGTACGCACAAGCAATGCCTGCAAACATGAAAAACCATTAAGTAAAAATTACATAAAACAAAAAACTACCCTAAAGACATGGTAATACATACCTCCAAATCGTTCCTCTGAATTCAAAAAGATGACATTCACATTTTGCAAAATTTGTTTCCCTGTCGAATTCAACCTTAAAGTTCTTACGTTTCTTCAAAATATGCCACAAACACCATCGGTGTTGGGTTCCCGGGAACACAATCTTAATTGCAGCCTTCATAGACTTGTCTTGGTCTGTGATGATACCCCGTGGGGGAATTCCACCCATACACTCAAACCACGTACGAAAGAGCCAAACAAATGATGGAGTCTCTTCGGTGCACACCAAACCGCATCCAAGTAGAATAGATTGACCATGGTGATTCACACCAACAAAAGGAGCAAAGGGCATGTCATATTTGTTAGTTAAGTATGTTGTGTCAAACGTTATAACATCCCCAAAGTACTTGTATGACTCTCTTGATCTCTTATCAGCCCAAAACAAATTTTTTAAACGTGATTCTTCATCTAGATCCATACTATAAAAAACCATCACATTGTGCTTCCAATTTCTGAAAATAAGCTTGGATTGCCATGGCTTCACCTGCACATATTTTAACTCGCCTCACTTGCTCCACGTAATTCCGGCAATCCTTTTCAAGAAAGGTCAAGTGGTCATAACCCCCTGCTTCAACAACAGTCGAGTTGAAGCTTTTGTGAAGCGGGATCCCTGCAGCATCATTCACCTCAAGACGTCTTTTAACGTGGTTAGGCACTTTCCTGTTACAACGCCATGTACGAGCTTTCGTTGGGCTTAGCCCATGATTATGCTCTAAATTAACAACCGAAATGGTGCACGCACCTTCTATATCGACTGTGGCAGTGATTCGGGCTGTGCAACCCAACTGCATTGTGGGTTGTGCATTTAGATTCTTTTTACTCCGCTTCTCCCGATTACCCTCTCTACCACAAGTCATTGTCACACTTCGTGTCATCCTGTCATTTCCTTTTCTAGAGCTTCTTTTGCGAATTGGAAACCCCTTTTTTTAGCATATGCATGATAGAAATTATATAGTTCTTCGTAGTTTTTGAAACGCATACCGACCGCTGGCGTTGCATCCACAACGTTGAAGGACTCACACTCTTGTCTTTGCTGTTGGTCGGAATTATTCTCAATCAAGGATTCATTACATTGTCCCATTAATCCATTATCAATCACTTCATCTTCACCGTTGGCGTCAACATGTGTTTCCAAACCTACACACAGAGCAGTACATGTTAACTATTTCATTTTGCACGTACATATTCTGTCTGTGCAAGCTATCCGGGACGAAGTTGCACCTACAAAATCTGTCTGTGCAAGCTATCCGGGATGAAGTTGCACCTACATAATCTGTCTGTCCATTGCAATCCTTGTCTATTCAGCATTTCATAAAGAAGCCCCTATGTACAACTTACAGTTTATGGTGTTTGCACTAGTCCCCACTGCCCCCTGGACATGCAAGTCTCCCTCTTCTTCTAACAACGTAATGAAAGTAGTTGCATCACGTACATTCGTTATACTTGCAAATGAAACTGCAAAGATTGAAAACCACATTTATTACTCCATAAATTATATCTTAAAAAACACAAAGTATTTTTACACGACTCTTATACACTAAAGAACTTACTGGGATGTGGGTTCAATATTACTCCATCACCACCAAAGTCACACATTTCATGTGCTTCACATTCATCTCTTAAAAAGCCCACCAAAGCAGGCTCAATTCCCAAATTCTCAACCCCTTCATATAGGCCTGACATCAACAATTACAAATTTACTTTAGAACTCATATAAATTAATGGTCACGTCCAATATATGCATGTCATTACTTACTACTGTTGTTTTCAAAAATACTCATGAAACTACTTCCAACATCCAAGTTGTCATTGCCCTCTAAAATGCCTGCACGTAAAAAATACAACTTTAATCATGCTAACATATTGCACAGACATGTATTGATGGTGAAAGCTACACCACATTGCACAGATATATTTTGCTGGTGCAACACTAAACTGAAAAGAGAGGATAACTGCCCAACCTTTACAATTGATGTAGGTTAAACCCAAATCCAACCTCATTCCACAGACATATGTTCTGGGGCAAAAACATATACAACTAAAACCAAAGAATTATGATCCAACCTAACATTGTCCGTAGGTGATACCTACAAACTGCCTTATTGCACTGACATAATTGTTGGTGCAAAACAATTACACCTGAAAGCAGATAATAATTGCCCAACTAGGTCAAACCTACAGCGTATCTCCTTGCACACTCCTAATTGCTGGTCCATAACTAAAAGTATATAATAAATTCCCAACAGCAGCTTTCAATTTTATAAGAATCCTATGTCTAATGTTATGCAGAGAATGTTTCTGAAATTATTGCTAGTAAATTAACCATAACCAACACTTCTTTAAATTCTAAGAATCCAGGGGTAAAAAGTCTTTTCAATGAACCATCTCTTTCTACATGTTTATAACTAAACTGTAACATAACACAAACATATAGTGCTAGTGCAATAATAAATAATCACCTGCTATAATAGGAGATGTCGGCGTGGCTTCATACATTCTCCCGTAGTTAAACTTCGAATCTGAAATTTTACTTGGAAATGCATCGGCGGCCTTGGGTCATCGTTCTTCAAATCTCGCGCCTTGGTCCTTTGCTCTTCGTGTTCCCTTTCTCCGATGATGCTGAGTAGCCGTCGCACTACTTCCCTTTCTCCGATGATGCTGGATTTTTTTCCGCGCGAAATGAGAAGAAAGAAGGGGGAAAAGAATCGCTGGGTGAGAGAGGAGAGAGACAAAACAGAGGTATGGGGTGGGATTGGGTGGGATTTAGTGGTATGTAGGGTGGGGATATATGGGGTACACCACTGGGGTACAAAGTGGTGTACCATAGCATGATTGAATATTTTATTCATTTTTTTTAATACTAATATGGGGAGGGCACCTGGGGTAGAGTTTTGGGGTACCTTAACATTTTTCTCTAATTTAATAAGGCAGACATGGGTCACATGCTCAGCAGCTAAAAGCAGGAATTCTGTTCACATGGCTGTTGTAATCAAGTACCCGATATTGATGCAAATGAAAGAGGGAAAGGAAACTCTATCAGGCCATTTCTTTTCTACTACTCCGTACTTACAAATTCTTTCTGCAGCTCCGACAGAAGAAGCTCAATAATTATCTTCCAGAGCTTAGCGGCGGAGTTTGAGACGATGTCACCTTCCCTCGCCGCGGTTCCAGGCACGGTTAGGACAGATTTGTTCCGCACAAATGGGACATTTGTAATTGCCCCTGCAAGAATCAACCTGAGTAAGCATTGAACCCCATTTTTATTTAAAAACCTTGAAAGTCTCTTCCAGTTTCTAAATTCATATTCTTGGTTTGCATTGAATGTTTGAAGGAGGCAAGTGCAAATTAGGTCAAAAGGGTTTCGGTTTTAGGGGAATTTTTGCTTCCGGAGCTTCTGTTATAAGCCATTCTGAAGCTGCTGCACAACCATCTCAAGGTCATTAAGTACACTGCCCATTTGTATAATCTTGATACCTCACTGATTGTAGTTGATTTTATTTACTTTTGAGCCTGGATTTTATAGGAAAGATTACTTATCTTTGTACATCTTACCCTCCCTAACCGGACTTGTGGGATTAATTCATGGAAATGTCACGACGATTGGCTAATTAGCAGAATATCTGTCCGCCAGATTGAGTTTTGTTTTGGAATTTACAACTTAATTTTAAAATAGGACGGGAAATGCTGCCATTTAAGCCAGAGGGATACAACTTCTGGACGTGGAAAGGCCACAGAGTTCATTACGTGGTGGAAGGAGAGGGGTTCCCGATTGTTTTAGTTCATGGGTTCGGCGCATCTGCGTATCACTGGAGGTGGGCATTTTGTTTGTGCGAGCGCATTTTTTTGGTCCGAATGAATTGAGCTCCTGATCCAGCACAACTCTTTTGGTTCATCTCACAAAACATTTGGGAAACTGAAGTGTTTCTGCTAAATGATGATTCTAACTATAATGTTAAGAATCACAATAAGATTTGGTTTTTTTTTGTAAGGCTTAAGTTCATATATGCTTGTTGTATATTAATTGGTGATAGTGTTATTTATTGAGGGAGTCTTATTGTTGGGGAGTGTTCCTTTCTGCGTCATGGCGAATATTTACCATTTTAAACGACATTGGTGTCATACTCTGACTCAAATTCTTGGGAATTCATTTCCATCTCAGACTTCATTTATGGGATTTTCTCAGAAACATTATTCCTCAATAATTCAGGTATAATATACCTGAACTGGCTAAAAAGTACAAGGTTTATGCTCTGGATTTGCTTGGTTTTGGATGGAGTGACAAGGCCCTCATTGAGTACGATACCTTGATCTGGAGAGATCAGCTTATGGATTTCTTGAAAGAGATAGTCAAAGAGCCAGCAGTTTTTGTTGGAAACAGGTGTTCTTCATTATTTCTATTGATATATCTTTTTCAAGTAAATAATTTTTTTTTGTGTTACCCACTATAATAATAATAAATGGCACACATCAACCTTCGAGTACTGAACCCTTCTTAGAGAAATGTCCCTGTCAGTCTATTGAGTTTTCAATGACATTATTTCTGTATGTATCCTCATCGCCTTAATCATCATCATGACCTTAATCCCAATTCCCATGAATGTTTGATCATCGAGTCAATTACATTTTGTAATGTAAAGTTATTAATTAGTTATCTTTAACTAGTTACACTAAATTTATAATTAGTTGATTTGAAACTACATTAGTTAATGCACTAAACAGAATAGAAAAACATATCTCACACAATTTACTGGCTCTTGTGTCATAAGGTTGTGATGAGCAATAGCTACTCTTAAAACTGACCTAAGAATCTGGCATATAATGGGTTCACCGAGGGAGGGGAGGTAAAAGATGTGCTTTTGCTATATATGTGTGTGTGTGTATGTATATATGTGTATATGTACATATATATATATATATATATATATATATATATATATATATATATATATACACACACACATATATATATATATATTATATATACATACACACACACACACACACACATATATAGTACACGAAGATGAATGAGATTAATAAAAAATGACTAAGTTCACCTGCCATGGTGCTTTGACAGCCTAGGAGGATTCACAACATTGGTGGCGGCAGCAGCGTTTCCAGAGAAGGTTAAAGGAGTTGTATTGTTAAACAGTGCAGGAAACTTTGCGGATGCAAGTGCTACAGATAATGAGCAAGAAGACACAACCTTACAGAAATTTGTCCTGAATCCTGTGAAGGAGATCTTTCAGCGCATTGTTCTTGGAGTTTTGTTTTGGCAAGCCAAACAACCTGCTCGAATTGAATCTATTCTCAAGAGTGTACGTGATGATCTCTATACAATTAGTATCTGCCCAAAAAATAATAGATTTTCTTATAGTCTCATTATAATTGTAGGTCTACATAAATTCATCAAATGTAGACGATTATCTCATTGATTCAATATCATGGCCTGCAGCTGACCCCAATGCAGGAGAGGTGTATTACAGGTATGACGCAGATAACAAAAATTTCTACTCTGTATAAGCTTTCAATAAAATGTTTAATTTGACAACTGAAGTGGTTAGATATATGTTTGTTTGTTAACTAGCAGCAATCTGGTGGCCTGTAGAAAAAAGATTTGTGTTTTCTAGCCATCACATTCGTTTTAGCAAGTTGTAGGAATGTCAATAACAACAACAACCTTGTATTTCGGTGCTATTGGCCTTTGGTTGCATTGAGACATAAAAAGCATTAGTGAAGTCAATGTATTCATATTTATGGAGAAATGCACAAGGCGTGAAGTGAATAATCTTGTTGTCTATATGTGTAGGCTGATGACACGAATCATGTCAAAGCAAAGAAAGTACACTCTTGATGCGATCTTGACCCAACTCTCTTGCCCACTGCTGTTACTGTGGGGGGATTTGGACCCCTGGATTAGTCCTATGAAGGCCAGTCGAATCAAGGAGTTTTACCCGAATACTTCACTCGTTAACCTGCAGGCAGGGCATTGTCCCCACGATGAAGTTCCAGAGCTTGTGAATAAAGAACTGTTGGATTGGCTGTCAACCCTAAACCTCTGATCCCTATTCACTCTCCACAGAAAATAATTTGTATTTAGCCCTCTCTGGACAGCTTATATCTTCATTTTGAGGTTTGGGGTTCGCTGTAAACACATTTTCGTTTTCTTTTATTTGTTTTAGGTGAAAAGTTGTCTGGGCTCGTCTCCTCAGAGTTCTTGTATCAACTATCCTTGTATGGCCATGTTTGATAGGAGGTAACGAAAGAAATGTATAGCTTATTTGTCCATCCTCAAAAGCTACTTCAATGGGAGGAGAATCAAAGGCCTATATATAGAATACATAGCACTGTAACATGTTCCCAATGTCTTGTGTAAAATTGTTGGGGAAAATTTTTGCTCTACCAACGTAACACGCCTTCCCAAGTCCCAATCTAAGAGGCACATATTCAAGAAGAAGGGAAACCTACTTGGAGATTCTACGCATATTATACTCTTCCTGTTTGTCTTCTCCTTCCCAATAGAGCTTTGAGCTCCATCAATGGCTGTCACGCCAAGATGCTCTACAAATATACCCCTGAAATATAATAAAGCACTCCTATTGGCATGGTACCGCCAAAAAAGGCCTGCGGTTTTCACCGATTTGGTTTCCACGTCAAAGTCTATTGTCTACGCTCTTTTTTATATATTTCTCTGTATTTCATATATATGCATTTGATACCCAAAAATGAATATCCGGTGGATTTATTTTCCATCAAATGGTGCTCTCATTGAGAGCTCGAGAGATTTTCTCAAGAAGAAACCTTCCACATAACCATGGTGCAGACACGCAGCAACGCCATACCAGGAGGAGAATAGCCCTACCGGAGGCCGTCACCTCCCCATCAGCGTGACGGAAGCTAAACCTAGCAAGATACAGTGTAATTCTCGAGTTTTTTTAGTCATAATATTATCACGATCTGCTCATGGAGCTGGATCAATTAGAGGATTTCTTGTCCATCAAATTGGTGTTTTCATTGAGAGTTCGAGAGATTTGCTCAAGAAGAAACCTTCCACATAACCATAGTGCAAACACGCAGCAACGCCAATCAACCTACTGGAAATCCTCACTAGGAGGAGAATAGCGCTACCGGAGGCCGTCGCCTCCCCATCAGCGTGATGGAAGCATGATACAGTGTAATTTTCGAGTTCTTTTAATCATAATATTATCACAATCCGCTCACGGAGCTGGATCAATTGGTGGAATTCTTGTCCATCAATTTTATTCCATCAGTTTGGTTCAAAAAATTAGGAAGAAAAGGAAAATAAAATACTCTCGTCCCAATTTAAATCATATGTTGTTGTTTACAAGGTTTGACTGCAATTGTTTTCAATTCATATTTTTTAAGTTGGTGTGAAATTAAAAAATAAAATTTATATATTTAAAAATTACAGTAAAAGTTCTACAAAAGTAGAGGTGATATGAATATATTATTTTATCATATGACTAGTGAAAATGGGTAGAGAAAATAGTTGAAATTTGATCGTGTAAATAGTAAACAAGCAATTTAAATTGGGATAGAGGGAATACATTTCTCTCATTTTTGTTTTCATTCTATTTTTCTTTTCCTATTTAACCAAACATGAAAAATTATTTTTCATGTCATTTTGTTTTTTCTCACAAATTTTTTGAAACATAAATGTAAATGTAAGTAAACCTCAGTATTATACTCTAGAAACATACTGCGGTGACGGCAGCTCAGCCACCAGCGCGGCGGCTCAGTCTCCAGACGGCGGCGGCAACTTGGTCTCCAAGCGGCAACAACTCTTGTGCGGTTGTCTTTCTTTGATCAACTAGGGGCCTGAGGCACACTGCAAGACTATGAAATTTGCTTCACCTGTGATTTGTATTACTTGTATGAACCTTCAAAGTCATGTTTGTGGATTTTTTTTCGTTTTTTTCTGTAATTACAGTGGATCAATTTTTGGAGATGAAGTATAACTCAAAATGAAATAGAGCGATGAATCACGGTTCCCGTCCGAAGATCCTTCACAGAAAAGTCATAAGAGTCAAATTCAATAGTACAATTGTTATCATGGGTGAATTGACGTACAGAAATAAGATTATGAATAATATGAGGGGAGACTAGGACATTATTGAGGGACAGGAGTGGGTAGGGGTGGACACGGTACCGGTACGGTACTGTGACCGGAAACGGTACCGCCGGTACCGGTACCGTTACCGTCGGCCGGGACGGTCCACCGGTTCCGGGAACCGGTACCGGTACTGCCCACTCCGGTACCGGTTCCGGTGCCCATTTTTCGGTACCGGCACCGGCGGTACCGGTTCCGGTTCCGGTACCGTAATTAATTTTCTTTTTTATTTCATTCTTTCCTTTATTAATTTCATTTTTAGAGTTTTTTATTTCATCATTTCTTTTAACAATTACACATTTACAATTCTACACTTTAAAAATTTAATAAAAAAGCAAAAAAAAAAGAAATTATGGGTGGCCGAAACGGTACCGGAATCGGAACCGGAACCGCCGGTACCGGAACCGGAACCGGCCGATCTGGTACCGGTACCGGTACCGGTACCAAGGGGTGGCGGTACCGGAACCGGCGGTTCCGGAACCGGAACCGTCCCGGAATCGTACCGTGTCCACCCCTAGGAGTGGGGAAGTGGGAAAAATATGTTTACCAATTGCCGTAGCACGCACTTTGGATCCATTACCTACAGTGATGAAAGGTGGTAAATTTAACGGCAAAGAATAAATATGAGAAATAGTACCTGGGTCCGAGGTAATGTGGTGTGAGGCACCGATGTCCATGAGTCATGTGGGTTCACGGAGAGTCATCNTAATTTGGGTAATTTGGGTAAGAAAGTGGGGTTTGGGCATATGCGTATTGGGTTGGGTAATTTGGATAAGAGGGTGGGGTTAAAAAGGCTTGGGCTGGGTAAGGAAACTGATTGGGCCGTGGGCCCAATAGGTCTTGATTGGGGTTTGAATAAGAGATCTGCCAGGAGGTTTGCTGTCCTGATTGCCGAGGGATTCCGCCAGAGTGCCGACCGCGACCGTGACCGTGCAGAGATCGACCGCCGCGACCACCACCTGTCTGTCCTCGTCCGCCGCTGCTGTCCTCCGCCGCCACCGGAAACCTGTGCGCGACCCGCTGCTCCACCTGGAATGGTCGCCGCCATAGCCATGCCTCCTTCGCCGGTGGGGACAAGGGGCCGACGTTGTTGCTCCAAGAGAAGAAGAGCTGATCTCGTTTCCATAAACGTCGGCGGTGGTTTCTGAAATTGAAGGAAGGAGGCTTTCCAAGGTCATCCGGGAGGCCACGTAGGGTTTGGAGAACGAGCCCATTTTCGGTGACCGGGGCGTCCACATCATCTAGCCAATCCGCAATATTCTGAAGAGTTTGACACTATGTGTGAATGGTGAACGGGCCTTTGGTAGTGTTGTAGAATTGGTGCTCCAATTGCATTGCTCTGGCTGCCTTGTTGTCATGAAACAAGTTATTTACGGCTTTCCAAATCTGCCGCAGATGTGGTGGAAGAGATGATGAGATCAGAAACCTCATCGTTGACGGTTGAAAGAATCCATCCTTAAATGAGAGCGTCGAGTTGAAGCCATTCAACATCATCTTTTCCGGCAGAGGTTTTCTCACCGGTGATGAAACCTTCAAGATTAAAGTGTCTGACCAGAAGAAGGAAGAGACGACTGCACTTCTTGTAATTTGGTTCCGAAAAACTGAGAGTGATGGGAACCCTTAGTTTGACGTTGGAGACCGTCGTGAAGGCGAGATGAGGAGTAGGTGTAGTGGAAGTTCAAGAAGAGGGGGATTTTTCTGAAGACATGGTGAGAGAGGGAGGGAGGAGATGACCGGTGATTCTTTCACCGGTGGAAAAGAAAGGGGAAAAATCCGGCGAGCAGAAGAGGGCTGCGCCGAGAGGAAGAGGAAGAGGGGAGGTGGTTCGGAATTAGCCTAGAGTTGACTCTGATACCATGAAGAATTATGCATTTCCAATGATGAATTTACCGTATATTCATCTCCCTTTATATACATGTAGGAGCGTTAAGAATAAGGAAACTAACATTAATGAGAGATCCTATACAATATGGAATCTACCATAAATAATAATATTATTAAATATGTAATATAACTTGACATATTTAACAGCGACGACAGCCGCAACTGGAATAGAGCTAAGAAGGAGGGCGGTGATAGTGCTTGAGACTAGGAAGGGGTCCGAGCGATAGTTTAGATCGTAAAGGGCTGGTTTGTGCGGTCAAGAGGAAAAAAAGTTAAGTACTCCTATTTATTTTAAAAGTGGTTAGTAAATTCTCAAAATTGTACTCAATAACTATGTGTTTTTCCAAATTAGTACCTAGGATGAACTAATTATCGATATGGTACTCGTTAATTAAAATTAATGCCCAGTTTAGTCCCCCGATAAACTGCCATCAAAATGGATTCAAAATGACATTAAAACATATACTTAATTTCTAAAATGAACATTTCTAATCAACTGTTTTCCAAATTAGTCAATTTTTGAAAATAAAGTCTCATAAAAAAGGTCTCGTGACTTCACTCTAACACCGTGAATCAGTTAAAAGGGAAGAATTCTGCTTCGATTTTCATATTAAATGATTTTTTGCATTAAATTAGACTAATTTGAAAAAATATCAAATTATATATGATTAATTTGGAAAATTAGTATAAATTTTAATGTCGTTTTAACACCGTTTTAACTATTTTCAATGAATGAGTACGATCTCATTAATTAATTCATTTTAAAGACTAATTTAGGAAAATAAGTGCTTTTGAACATGAGAATACGTTTTTACTGACTCCCGTCAAAGTGAAACAGCGCACTCCCGCTAGTCACTGAACAACGTCGCCGGCTGCGATGGAAACCACCGTAAGATTATTCGGCTCCTCAAACCGCCCCCTCTCCGTAGCTCTCTTCCTCCGAACCCCTTCTCATAGCCTTTCCCCCAAACATATTTCAACAATTCCACATCGTTTCCGTCCAATTCCAACCTCCCGTCTGTCACTCTCCATCTACAATGGCAAACCCTGGAACGCATTATTTTCAATTCCCACCTTCCCACACTCACCCCCAATGGTTTCCCGTTCTTCTCTTCTGAATCCCATAATTTCCTCTCCTATTTTTGCGCGCATCTTCTGGGGTCCCAGAGACAAGCTCTTCGATTGGCATTTTGCTCCGGACGGAGAAAAGGGGCGGGGAATTCGATGTCTGGGAAGTAATGGGCCTGTGGTGACTGTGGTCTTACTGGGTTGGCTAGGAGCCAAGCCTAAGCACCTGAGAAGGTACATTGAGCTGTATAAGTCCATGGGTATTCATTCTGTAACGTTTGTAGCTTCCGTGAGAGATGTCCTTTCCTTCGATTTAGCCGGGAAACTCGAGGAGAGGATTTCATCCATGGCTAGTGAGCTGGCTTCGTGGCTGTCACAGTCAGAGAAGGACGGAAGGGAAAGGGTCTTGATCTTCCATACTTTCAGCAATACCGGCTGGCTTGCGTAGGTTGATTTATTGGGCTCCTGATTTTCATTTGGTCTTACCAGTATATGTTCTGATATCACTGTTTCATTCACAAATGAGGCACATATAGTCATAATCATAATATGAAGGGATTGAGTTAATGGTTATGATTAACTCTCTTGCCTTAGATTGGGGGTGTGTCTTACAAATTTACCCTTTTGAGTTTGTCTCCTCTGCAGATATGGTGCCATTCTTGACAATTGGAGGAATCGAAAGGATGTATTGGACAAGATCAAGGGATGCGTTGTTGATTCAGGAGGAGACCCACATATAGACCCCAAGGTTTGTTTTTGAAGTCCATATATGTGCTAAATGTATTCTGTGGTTTGCATCGCCGACCATTCTGGCTCCTCAAAGTTCAAAAGCGCACTTCATCTATTGCTTGTAACTGATAAGAAGAAGAAGAAGAAGATAATGTTTTTTCCATAGAAAATAGAGAAAACATCGCATAAGACCTTTTGCATGTTTGAGAAAAAATAGAATCATCTGGTTTGAAAATCCGTAGCAGTGAATGCTCCTTTCTTCTGTAAATTTGGGGATGCTGAGAAGCAGTATTGTCCATGATATATTAGGTTTGTAAATTTTCATTTATCCTCCTCCTCAGAACCCTTTTCAACGAGCATTAATCAAACAAATTATAGGTGCATTGTAAAATAGATTTGAAACATTGTACCTGTTTTTTTTGTTTTATTGCACATCATGTCCTATGTATTTACCATAGTTTTGAAAGGCAAAAAGAGAGAGGCAGGCGAGAGGGTCTTATTTAAGGCAAAAGGTGAGGCGAGAGGCGGGTGGTGAAAAGGCAAACTTGGGGCATACACACAAATACATAAAATAAATAGTGCAGTGCAATTAATAGTGTCAATCCCAAGCAAATCGTGCATGTTAAACAAAACAATTAGAGTAGTTACTACGCATGTTTCTCAAAGCTTAATCGTAATCATCATCACTTAAAGAGAAATCCATATTTTCCATCATATTTGATGGAAGAAGAGGTTCAAAATCATTATCCCCAGAGAAGTAAGCTAAATATCTGAAGCATAAAAAATATGGTAAAAGAGTAGGCGGCAGAAGAATTGCAAAAGGAAACAGAGAGAAGAGAGAGAGCTGATGAGAGATGCCTAAGAGAGAGAGAGGAGATGAGACCTGAGTTGCCAATGAGACCAGAGTAGACGAGGTAGAGTTGTGTCGATTTACTGGATTCTGGTAGGTGTAGCACGCTAGGGTGTAAATGAGTTGCGTTTAAGATGCTAGCCATTTCCTTAAAAAATGCCAGCCCATTTTTTAAAAGGCCCATAGCAGAAGCCAAACTACAGTAAGGCGAGAAAAGCAAACGCCTAAGGCGACGATTGAGGTGAGAGAAGCAAGCGACTTAGGTGAGAAAGGCGAACAACACCTCGCCTGGTGGTAGAAGGTCGCCCGGACGCCTGAGGCGATCACCTTTCAAAACTATGGTATTTACTCGTAATCTCGTATATCTTTATGAGTTCGAGACAATCAAATTTTTGGATGTCCGTTATGGGATGTTCTACTAGACCATGAATATCAAAGATTCAGACCAAACCTCAAACATTTAGAGTAAACTAGAAAGATATGGGATCAGAGTATATCTAAAGAAGATCCAAATCAGACTACTTTTTTTCAATAAAAAAACATTCATCAAGTTCCCATGCTTACTGCATACGGAGTATATTATAACAGTTGGGAGTTTGGACTTTCTACTTGTCCAAGGTACAAACTGGTGTATTATGTATGCCGAAGAAAGTATTTAATTAATCTTATATACTTGATTCTAATGTGTACATCTCATTGAGTGAGGGAGTGTTTTCTTCACCTTTTTTTGTTATTACTTATTACTAGAGTAAATCTTATTGGGAAATGCTTGGTTCACAAACAAAATGGTCACAAATCTCACAAACTTACTATTTGTGAACTTCAATAAAAAATAAAGTAGTTTAAAATAATTTTAAAAAGAGAATTTAAACCATAATTGGTAAAATTATTTTACACAGACTAAACCAAACCAGACAAGAAATATTCAGAGTAGACTAGTCCCAAGAGCTTAAGACCTGACAAGACTAGAAAGATTCATACCAAACCAAACTAGGCAAGATATTATATTGCAAAGACAATATCAAAACAAAAAGACTGATCAGACCATAACGATTCACATACACAAGGCTAGAAAGATTATGATGAGATCTTAAAATATGATCACATTTTTGAAGACCAATAGATCACGTCCCATGTCACATATTCACATGCAAATTGGTTGGATAATTTTCTTTTATGGAGTATACTTCTTTGTTCTAACTTTTATTGAGGTTAGAAGAACTTGCTCGATAAGAACAATATAGTGTGTTTGTCAATACTTGACAAGTGAGGGTTGCTCAGTTGGTATTTGGTAAAGAACCTCCACCTAAGACCGGTCAGTTTGTCCATACTTTTACTGAATTGTGGAAACATTATTAATCCTCTTTAGGTGGGCTGGGGTTGGGGAGGGGGGAGGATAGGGGAATTTTCGGTCTAACCAAAACATGAAAGGGAATAGAACCTCTTGTGGTGCTTTTTCAGTTCTGTAATAAAATTAAACTATTCTCAGGTTGGGAGTCTTGCTTGGTAATATAGTAACATGATAATATTTTTTACTCCAAGTGGTTTGGGCTGTTAATTTGCGGCAGGTTTGGGCAGCAGGCTTTACTGCAGCATTGCTGAAGAAGCGCAGCTCTTTTGTATTGCCCGGAGAGGTGGAACATGGTTCCTCAAAAATACAAGGAAAGAAGCCCTCTTTGATGGAAACATTGCTCTTTGACGGCTTTGAAAAACTTTTCTCATTTATTCTGAACTTGCCAAGTGAAAACAGGTAATAACTCAAAACGAATCTTGAAATTCTCTTCCTCTTCTTCTTCTTCTACTACTACACTTACTACTACTACTAATACTAATACTACACCTAACCAACCTGATCAAAGAGGACTATGTGAAACATTCCCAAAATACAGAAGTTTATTTAGGGGCTTTTAAACTGGACTAGTTTTTATACTTCTTCTTTCTGTTTAACAGAAGGTTGGCAAAGATCATATCTACTCTTGTGAATGAGCAGCCCCTCTGTCCTCAGCTCTATGTTTACAGTACTGCAGACACGGTCATTCCATTTCAGTCTGTTGAATTTTTTATCGACGAGCAAAGAAAGAATGGGAGGGACGTGTTGTCATTCAACTTCGGTACATCTCCTCATGTAGACCATTACCGAAATTTCCCTTCTGCCTATGCATCCCTTCTGCAGAATTTTGTCGAAAAATGTTTGGTCATGGTTAAGGAAACATATTGATCCATCCATCAACTATACTACATATTAACATTGTCAATTTGCCATTGTTGTGTGGTAAGCTGAATTAACTATCGGAATATGTACCGAAAATGTCATTTAGCCTTGTGACTGATTATTAATGTGTGTATCAAAAGGAAAATCAGATCGCGACACTAAGTATGAGCGATTGGACAAAACAAAACTACGAAGTATAAAATCGGCCAAAATATAATCTATTGCCTTTATTGATAAAAAAAATAATATAATTGTTGTTGGAGTATGCCTGAGCGGTGTTTTGTCTAATGTTACAAAGCATGCATGTCCCTTTAGTGTACTTGATTTTTAATTATTTTTTTCACTATTAAATTTTACCAGAAGTAAAATACTCCCTCTGTCCCACTGTCTTTGTCCACTTACCTTTTGGCATATCATCCAATGCACTTCTTTAATCCATTTTATTTTGTAATTTGTATATTAAAAAATTATAAAATTATATATTAATAATCTATATGTTAAGACGAATCAAACAAGATCACACATAACTATTTTTAGGCTTACACATTCAGAGAATTTGATGATTCAAAGTGCTTAGATGAACAGTTCCAAAAGTCAAAACTGGACAAAAACAATGAGACGGAGGTAGTATTACAGTATTTTGGCACATACATGTTTTATTTGAATTTTTTCGCGGGTCTAGAATTAGTTTGTAAGTTTTATGTTTTCTCGAATCCTGATACGAATGAAAATATTTTCATAGGCTCTTGATAAAAAAATTTTTATCGAAAATAATATTTCACGTACATTTAGAAATATATTTAATATCAAATTTGGATTCAATGAATTTTCAAAAATTTTATTCTACAGTATAACATAAGTATTTTCGCAAACCACTGTTGTTTTCCAGCAGGTGCCATTATAATAGTTTACTTAAAAAAAATCATAGCATGTAAAAATATTTTAAATATCAAATTTGGAATCAATAAATTTTAAAACTCGTGAACTATTTTTAAATTTATGACAAATACTCGAGCATGTTCCGGCAACTTTTATATTGTTCTCGATGTTAAAGCTTCAGAGAATCAAGAGAGAGATGAAGAGGAACAAATGTTTATTATTGGAAATGGAAAATTCTGCCCTAGTACAAACAAAAAGACTACTATATATATGCAGCCCAAAGGAAAAACCAACTCAGCGAAAGATAAGGAAAACAACAGAAATTAGTTACAGATTACAACTGGATAGTGTACAGCTGGCGTTTGTGGCACTCTTCTTCACCCCCCCCCCCCGCCCCCGCAAGCTGGGTGGAGGTGAAACCATACCCAGCTTTGCCGCCAGAAGCTTCTGAAATTGTTCAGCGGGCGGATTTTGGTAAGAACATCTGCCAATTGATCAGCGGTAGGCAAGTAGGAAAGCTCGATGAGGCCCTCAAGGACCTTCTCTCTAGTCAAATGACAATCAATTTCAATGTGCTTTGTCTGCTCATGAAAAACTGGATTACGTGCAATGTGTCAAGTAGATTGATTGTCACAGTGCAAAGTAATGGGCTTAAAGTTGGACACACCTAGTTCTTCAAGAAGACGAACCAGCCATGTAACTTCTGAAGCAACTTGGGACATAGCTCTGTATTCAGCCTCTGATGAAGACTTGGAAACAGTTTGTTATTTCTTAGATTTCCAGGAAATGGGTGAACCACCAAGAAGAACAATATTGTCTGTGACAAATCGTCTTGAAAAAAGACAAGAGGCCCAATCTGAGTCAGACAAAGCATGAAGAGAGAGTTTGTCCAAACCTTTCAAAAGTATGCCCAGATCAATAGTACCAAGAAGGTAATGAAGGAGATGTTGGGCACCCTTCATATGAGAGTCATCAGGAGTCTGCATAAATTGGCTTAGAATTTGTACCGAATTGAATATGAAATGTCAGGGCGAGTATACATGAGAAAATTTAATTTCCCTATCAACTGCGGTAAAGGCTAGGGTCAGTACAAAGAGCAGACCCACCATGTTGAAATTTGGTGTTTTGAGGAAGAGGGGTCTTCACTACTTTTGCATGTTGACAATGATATTCAGCAAGCAAATCTTAGGGGAATTTGCGTTGAGAAAGGATGATGATGCCAGCAGAAGTATAAGTGAGTTCAAACCCAAGACAATAATGAGCAATACCCATGCAAGTCCTTAATCGTAGTATCTAGGTACTGTTTGAGTGAAGAAATAGCTGCGGAATCTGAACGAGTCCCAAGATGTAATCCACATAAACAACAACAATAGTAATATGAAGAGTATGTTTAAAGTGTCATTTTGAGAATACCTTGTCTCTATACAACTGCTTGAGTTGAGAAACACCCTCGAAACCATTCTTCACCAGCTTCTAGAAATTTCTAGGCCCCACGTCGGGAATCGTCAGCAAATCAGGAGCTCCGTCCAATCCCCTCTTTGGGGCATCAGTGCCGCCCCTCTGTCTCCTCTCCAACCTTGCCACTGGTCATTCCTCTAAACAATTGCCGCTCTGCTCGCCTGCCTCGGCACCATTTTCTGCCCCTTTCGACCCCTCGGCAACAGTTCCCACCCACACTTTGTGGGCCCCTCATGCCTCAAAGCAACCCATGACCTCGACGCCCGACTAGTACGCTCAAGAGACAAATTACCCAAACTACACAGACCAACTCCGGTGGAGGAGAGTACGGCGTGGTTCAGACGAGAAAGGTGATGGAAATAGCAGAGTGTGGAGGCGGTAGGCGATGGAAAGTTGCCATGGGGTTAAGGGCAAGACCGCACCAGACTCTTCTTTTGAGCTTAGAGGGACGCTTTACAAGCGTGAATATTATTTGGCCGATGGAATATATCCAGATTATTCCACGATTTTCAAATCCCTCTCCGAACCAATAGGTCTTAAACGCCAGACCTACAAAAAAGCTCAAAAGGCGGCGAGAAAAGATATTGAACGAGCCTTTGGGGTTTTGAAGGGTAAATGGCACATTCTAGATCGTCCGTCGAAATGTTATTCTCAAACGAAAATGAGGAATATCATGTACACATGTATTATTCTTCATAATATGATCATAGAGGACAACGGGACTGCGATTTGTCAATATAACCCGGATGAGAAGGTGCCTATGTACGAAGAAATCAACGAAGAAAAGAAACGAAGAAACCGCCAAGAAATTCGAAGCCAAGAGATTCACAATGCACTAACGGCGGATTTGATCGAACATATCTTTAGTCGCTCGAATAATTAGTAATTTCTTTGTAGTGTTGTTTTTTTATGTAGTGTTTTTTTAATGAATGTAATTTTTTTATGAATGTATTTTTTATGAATGTAATTTTTTTAAATGAATGTAATTTTTTTTATAATTTTTTTTATGAATGTAATATTTTTTTAATGAATGTAATTTTTTTAATGCACTACTCTCATTGCGATTAATTTAAATAATAAATTAATTTAAATTTATTAATTTAAATTTAGAAGATGTATATTTAAAAATGTAAAAAATGAAGGTTTGAAGCCCCAGTTTGAAGCCCCGGGGCTTCAAACCCATTTCCTGTGAATCTATGAGGTAAGTTAAAGCTGACGTGGCAGAGAGAGAAATTTTGAAGCCCCAGGACTTCAAGAGTATTTCCAGTTCATGCTCTAAGGGCTTGTTTTGGACTCTTGGAAATCGGTAGAGAAAGGGAATCATGGGAGAGATAGGGGAAAGAAAAGATTTGAGCGATGAGACTGCTGTGGTGGCTATGGGTTTTTTGGTGAGTAGCTCTTGCATCGCTTATGGCGCATTTTGCGGTTGGGCAATAGGATTTTGTCCTCACATATCAAATATTAATAATTTAGTCCCCAATTATTATATTGTTTTTCAGGAGTACAAGAGGAGGAGGAAGCTTAATTGAGGAGAGGGAGAAGTGTGAATTTACAATTTTATCCATATTTTTAACGAGAATGTTAACAGAGGATCATTCGTGGAAAAAAATTTAATAATTGGAGACTAATTTATTGATATTTGATACGTCGGGTTTAAATATGGAAAATGGCCTATAACTGGGCACCTTTTATAGAATTTACTCAAAACTAAAATAGAACATTCCCTTTTATGTAGTATTCCTTTTTTTGAGCACTTTTATTCCTTTTATTAATTGATTTGGAGTATATGATAGAGTCGGTTGTACAAGAAGTAAGGTACAACCTGATAGTACTCATTTTGGAATAAACTAATATTCTCTGTTCTAAAATTAACTTTTTTGTTTGACTTTTTATTAATGTTTTCAAACTTGACCACATATTTCAGAAAAGATATTGAATATTTATATAAATAGAAAGGAATACTCATTTTTGTACAAAACACAAACTTTCATTTGGGTGTAAAAGTGTATCCATTTTAAAATAATGTGATACTCATTTTGAATCAATACAGTGTTCATTCTAAAGCAACGTAACATTCATTTTCATACATTTGTTCAATGACAATTATAATATTCAGTTACGAATAACGTAGTGTTCATTCTGAAACAATGTAGTTTTCATTCTCAAATACAGTAATGTTCATTCTCAAGCAAGTTAATACCTAGGTGAAGCCTCTCAACATTTTTTCTTCTCCTGCCCTGGCCCAGACCTCAAAGTAACGCCGGCTAAAGCTAGGGTTTTCTAGACGCAGTCTTCATGGTCGATAAAACGTCGTGGTCTTGATGCTCCATCGTTCCTTCGACCCCATTCCTAGTCACGGGTGCTCAATCGCTCCATCCCATCGCACCATCATTCTTCGATTATATTCCTGGTTGCCATCACCGATGCTCCATCCCTCATTTGGATTTTGCCCAAATTAGACGTCAATTATACACGAAGAACGTACAGCCGGTTGTACGGTATAAATCGTGGATTTTGGACGTTAATAAATCAACTTTGCGTTTACCAAGAAGAATTAACTTTGCGGTTATTTGACTATCACTCGGTGAGGAATGCTGGGTTCACAAATAAAGTGATCACAAAATTCACAAAGTTACCATTTATGGTTTAAAATCTCATTTTAAAATTATTTTAGACTACTTCATTTTTTATTAACGTTCACAAATAGTAAATTTCTGAGATTTGTGACCATTTTGTTTGTGAACCAAGCATTTCTAATCACTCGTTTCACAAATGTAATAGGGAGTACTTTATGTCCCAAAAAGAAATTAATGCAACATTTTACAATACTTAATTTAAATGATTTTTAATTCCATTGATTTCAAAATTAATTTTAAAATAAAGTTTTGATGTTGCAATAATATTATTTTGAAAAATTTTAGTGTATAAATGAAATTATTTTTAATTCAATTTATTTTATAATTATTCCTAAAATATAATAACAGTTTGATATTTAAGAAAAAAATTGAAAACTAAAAAATGTGTATCTAAAATTTGTTTAAAAGAAATACTCTCTCCATCCCAAATTAAATATATCCCGTAAATTCCTATTCTCTCCATCTCAAAATGAAGATTTCATTGCAGTTTGGGATATTTTACCAAAGTTATTTTCATTTTTACTTTATTAAAAATTAGTATGGAATTGAAAAAATTAAAATCATATTTTTTGAAAACTATTATAAACATTTTACAAAATTAGAGGTGACATATTTAAATTATTTTATCAAATTAGTGAAAAAATAAAGAAAAAACTAGATAATTACATCAATGCATACTAATGACCAAGTGTATCAGATCCTGATCAACCCAACAAATTATGAGCATATATTTTAAGAATATTTAAATTTACGAAAGCAATTAAAATTTTCATTAAAAAAATATATCAATTTGCCATTGTTGTGTGGTAAACTGAATTAACTATCGGAATATGTACCGAAAATGTCATTTAGCCTTGTGACTGATTATTAATGTGTGTATCAAAAGGAAAATCAGATCGCGACACTAAGTATGAGCGATTGGACAAAACAAAACTAGGAAGTAAAAAATTGGCCAAAATATAATCTATTGCCTTTATCGATAAAAAAAATAATATAATTGTTCTTGGAGTATGCTTGAGTGGTGTTTTGTCTAATGTTACAAAGCATGCATGTCCCTTTAGTGTACTTGATTTTTAATTATTTTTATCACTATTAAATTTTACCAGAAGTAAAATATTACAGTATTTTGGCACATACATGTTTTATTTGAATTTTTTCGCGGGTCTAGAATTAGTTTGTAAGTTTTATGTTTTCTCAAATCCTGATACAAATGAAAATATTTTCATAGGCTCTTGATATTTATACTATCGGATAAATATTTATACGAATGACAATGTTAATATGTAGTATAAACATCAAAACATTATCAAGTAAACTCCAAACTTCCAATACTAGGTCAAGAACAATTATTTCCCAAACTGAATCCGAAATGAACCAAACTCGAATATGAAAATATCGAAATTGAATCCAACCTGTCTCCTTTATTTAGTGAGATTGAATCTTTTGGCACACCTAAGAATGATAACCATTTGGTGCGAATGGGCCACTATAGGCCTGTTTGGGAATAACATTAGAGATTAGCTTTAGTGTTTTGGATAAAATTTTAACGGTGCAGATTACTTTGGAAACGCTAACGCTAAACGCTGCTCGTAGATAGCCTTTTCAAAACGCTAACGCTAATCGCTAAAGCTATTCCCAAACTTGCCCTATATCAAATACAACCATTTTTTAGATAAATCTAGCCCTGTCACTGACTGGCAATGCAATTTTCATGTAACACGGAGTAAAAAATAAAAAAATTTCCAGATTGACTCACAAAATTTGAACAGGACGAGTAATCTGGGACGGGGTAGTAGAAAAATAAGATCATTTTTTAGAAAAAAGACCCAAAATTGGGTTCCATATGAAGCGAGAACACTTCTCCACGTTGGGTAAGAGATAGTTAAAGCAGAGCATATAATATCAGTTCAACAAGATATAAGATGTGTCTCATGTTTTATCAAGAGGATGTAAATATACCAATAGAAGATTGGCATATAACTTGCCATCACTTTGAAGAACCCAACTACGGAAATTCTTTCGATATGTAAAGTTTGAGGCGTTCCAGAAATGGATATAACGCAGATTTCATTTGCCGAATTCCCAGATCACTCCTCCATCCTCTGCAAACATTCAATCAGCAATTAGCTCAAAGCAGGTTGGTTTGGTGGTAACACTGTGTTTTATGTTTTCACTTCTCAGAAAGAAAAAAAATTGTTTTTTTTCAATTTCTAAAAAAAATAAACATGTGTCGGTAAGCCTGGTTTGCACATGGTGATTTAAGCTCACATAAAATTCACCAAGTATTATAAAAATACACGAACCATGCCCAAATCAAATACATGGTTCCAAAAAAACAATTAAAATAGAAATTCCCGCTGCAAATAATTTTAGGCCCCGTTTGGTACACGGAATACAAACTATGAAATTGGAATTGAGGAGTTCAATTCCATTTTTTGGTGTTGGGTAGCACAAAAATTATGTGGATTTGGAATTGGTAGTGCAAAAAATGAATTTGATTTGATGAATTCAATTCTATGGAATTGAATCCCATGGAATTTCAATTCCAATTCCATCAATTCCGTATACCAAACGGACCCTTAAATTTTGTGTTTTTGTTTTTCAGAAACTAAAAGAACTTACGCACATAAGAGAGGTGTTTTTTATTTTTATTGTCAGAAAAGTGAATAAATATTGTACTTTTCAAAAGTCACACCCTAGGTTGGTTATGAATGTGCAGTAACAGATATGGATAATGCAATTTGTTTTCAAATATGGGGTATGAGAAAGCGTGTTCTATATGCTTCAATAATATTTAGAGAGAGGGAGAGAGAGATACTTCATATCATATATATGATTGAAATAAGCTAAAGATTTGAAGATTATGATTCCCCCATATAAAAATGTCTAAAGCTCCATTCGGTAGCCATTTCTGGCGAAATGGATGTTACCAAAAGCTTTTCTTCCCCGAAATTCAATAGAGGGAATCACTTCAGCAGAAAAACTCTTACCAACGGGCACTAAATCCTACAGCTAACCAAACACACCCTAAATCCTTCAATTAAAGAAGCCAAACCCATTGGGTTATCCTCAACTAAAAAGAATTTAGAGCAGAAAGTAGCATACACACACATACCTTTTACCTTCTTGTTGATCCACACTTCTAGGAGCATCCCAGCACCGATTCCAGCAGCAATAAAGGAACCGTAAAAAGCTATAGCAGATGGTATGGATTTTCTTGGAAGAAAATAGCACTCTGGGATTTGCCTTATTTTTTTAGGAAGCCTCTTCTTCACTGTTGGTCCTGCGCTGGGATCAGTTTTTGAAGGTTCAGTTACTTCAGTAATACTTTTCCACTCAATATCCTTCAAAGGATCTTTCTCCCCTTCTATGCCCATGATAAGACTTGACTCTGTAATACAGCAGTTGAATGATTCAATTTTACAATATCCAAAATAAAAGAACTAAACCATTCTAGTTATGAGTTGGTTTGACAACAACAACAACAAGCAACCCACTACAATCCCACAAATGGGGTCTGGGTAGGGGTACGCAGACCTGACCCCTACCAAGAAAAGATAGAGAGACAGTTTTCAAAAATCCCAGGGTCAAATACAAAAAGACAGATGACATAGGTTCGCACAGTTTGGTTTTACCTTGGAAAAAGTAAAGGAAAATCAAAATTGAATAATATTTAAAATCATATTCACATACTCTGTATATTCATTACTCCGTAGTATTCACTGAATCCAAATTCATAAAAATCACAGTTTATGAGTTTGTGCAATATCTAAAGTTAATTCATTGAGTTTAAACATTTTTTCATAAATAATCTTCACTTCCCAATTCTCCCTGCATTTTCTTTCCCTAATATCTTCAAGAAAGACGATGAATAAGAGAAAAAGCTTCTCAACAAGAAAATCGTGACAAAAACGTCATATTTAGGTTTCATTTCGTGAAGCAGCCCAACATTTTATTTCTTTTCATGCATTTAAAATTACATCTAATACACCGCATTCAGCAATTCATTCAGACATTTAATCAAACACTTAGCAATTAAACAGAAGCAAATGACATAACATCCCTAATCCAAAAGAAATCAATAAGTCATTGTGCTAATAGAGTTGTCAATAACAAAATTGCAGAGCAAAGAGAGAGAGCCTAACATGAACGACTTAGCAGTGGAGCTCAGATCGCAGGTTTCCCGTTGCGGTGAAGGCGCAGATCGCAGGTTTCCCGTTGCGATGAAGGCGCTGATCGCAGGTTTCGTCCCGGATAAATATGCCTCTCACATTCTTTCAATTAATTCTGCATTGTCCTTTGTAAATTGTAATTCTACATCTAAAATTTTACTTTATGGGTCCATTTGGTTTGGGAAAACAAAATATATTTTCAAAAAATTATTTTACAAGGGAAAATAATTTCCCTTCACATCACATTTTTTAATTTTTGGTAAGAAAAAAAGTTTTTTTCTAAAAAATCAATTTTCGTTGTTGATATCTTAAAACATGTTTTGAGATAATCTAAAAATACTTTACAACATGCAGCCGTGAGTTGACTGTTTTATTTTACTCCTATCAAACAGTTAATAAAATATTTTTAAAAAAATTTAAAATAACCATGTAAATAATAAATATGACGGAGAATAATCCCATATCAGCCTAGTGTCTGACCGACAGCTGGACCCCACGTCCAGGTAAGCTTGGAAGAGGGCCCCAGAAGTGGACGAGCTCGGTCTTTGGCCTCGACACGATAGGGACGAGCTTGGCTCGGACCTCGGGCTCCTTTCTTTTCGGCTCGGACCGAATGACAGTGATGGGAGGACAGCAACCGGATGATAGGGACTGCAAGACCAGTCCTAAGAATTTAATGGCATGGGCCGACACACAAAAAATGACCCTAGAGGACTTATGCCTAATAATTTGAAATTTATGTTTATGTTCCTAAAATATGTATTTTATCTTTTAATTGGTATTCCCTTGTCCATTATATTGATATTTTGAGAAAAGCTGTCCCGGTATACCTTCCCTTTTTTTAGTGATCAGAACCTGTTGGGATTCATATTAAACATCATTCAAAAGAGTTAGTGGATTGACAAACAAATGAATTCTACCATCACCTCACTCAAACCAGATAAAACTCGGGTACCATTTTAAGAAAAAGAACCAAAACTAAAGGTAAAAACGAGTGGAAAATAAAAGTCTGCAAAATAACAAACAAAAATATCTGCAAAATAAAGGGAAAATAAACGAAAAAGAATATTCTAAAATAATTAACATTTAATATACTCTAAGAATAATCCTAATTAATATTCTAAAATAATTAAATGAAGAATGAATATGAATTAACAAAATAGCAATTGACAATTATTTATTGCAGTGACCAAATCTTCCTCCATAGACTACAATTAAAATTAAAATACTTTATGACACATTACAACACTAATAAAACTTTACAAACAGAACCTAAACATTTGCTGCAAAATCAAAGTTAAACTGTTAGAGTTAGGCCTGAGTCAAACAATTGAAGAACATAAAACATTTGCAGCTAAAAAAGTGTAAGACAAAGTTACAACGAAAAATAGAAAATGACATTAGCCCAAAAAAACTTCCAGCGAAAACCTATAACCTAAACTTCCAAGCAATTCAAGTGAAAAAAGAAAAATAAGAGTATGAAAAATATGAAGTACAAAAATCTTTATCGTAGTAACAGATTAATTGCAACTGCTCTGCAGTCAATTGAAAATATAAATCACCAAATGTTCAAGATTTGAACAAACAAATATATAGTCGTTTAAGACTCGAAACTGAGACAAACTCAAATACCCAAAACTTCACAACGAAAAAGCTGAAAATATGATGGAATTGAAGCGATAGTAATGGATAGATTTGAACTAAAATCTGGCAGTTTTAATAGAAAAAGAAACCCAGAAGTGCAGAGCTGAAATCACAATCCAAACATTTTCTTTTACTTATTAGAGAAATTATAATTGAAGAAATCTAACTTGCAATTGTTTTAGATGATTAAATTTCTAAGATAGTATGAGTAAAGGATGTAAAGCCAACGGATAAAACTTATAAAAGAAAGCTGAAACTGAAAGCATGACATTGGCGAGACTCAAGAGTAAGTGAAATACCTGGAGTGCTGGCGGCGTCTGGCGGGAGAAGAACCAGCAACTGGCCACGAAGGTGAGGCTGATTTCCGACGGGTCGATCGAAGGTAGAAGGCTGATTTTTGTGTCTCTCTGATTCCCGAAGGCAGCGGCGCCAGCAACGTATAAAGTAGGCTGATCTTTTATTTGGATTTTGGGCTTAATGGAGCAATGGGCTTGTAATATCTATATACTCCCTTCGTCCACAAATAAACTCCCTCCATCCACAAATACTCCCTCGTATTTTTAAAAGAGAATTGGGACCCTTTAAATTACGGGCCCGGTCCGGTCGGGCTGTCTGTCCCCCCTATGAGCCGGTCCTGAGGGACTGGATGATAACGACTAGATGAAAAGGATTAGACTATGAGTACCAGGTGATGTCTACTAGACGACAAATATCCGTCACGAGGATTGACTTAGTTATATCGTTGAATTTATAAATAGGCCAAAGTCTTCTCATTGTAAAGTATCCGATTTAAAGCTAATAATACTCCTACTTTGCTCTCTCTCTTGTTAGAATAAGTGACCAACGCTAGAGGGGGGGTGAATAGCGTTTGATCGTAGAAGTCGCAGGAATAAAAAAATTAAGAACGTGAAAAGTAAAGAGCGTAGAAAGCGTAAAGGGAGCACACCAAGATTTATACTGGTTCACCACAACGTGTGGCTAATCCAGTCTCCCGAGAGACTCTCTCGAGCTACACTACTTCCGTTAAGCTTACGGGTGCTTAACAAACCGTTACAACCTGAGAACTCGAGTCCCACGAGCCTCAACAACCTTGCTCGGAGATACCGCACTCCAAGACTTCAACCCGAAGGAAAATACCTTTCCTTCGTACAACCAAGGGAAACAAGCTTCCCTTAACCTGTATACAACACTAAGACACTCAAGAACAAGACTCTCCTTAAGAGTAGATATTGAGTAAACTGTATACGCTCAAGAACAACTCAAACTTCACAAATTGGCTCTAGAAAGCTATGAAAAATGATGTTGTTTGAAAGCAATGATAATATGAATATTGTGAAGTGAATTGGTGAGAAAAGCAGACCCAAACACCCCTTTTTATAGTGCCAAAAAAGGCTCCAACGGACCAATGCATTAAAGGGGTGATTGCCTTGATTTAAGGGATTGAATAAATTTGGGATCTGCAGGATATTGGCNATGGGTAGATGCTTCCCATCGCTGGGTGGGAGGTTGACTTTCAAATAAGGAAAGAATCAGCCTTAAATGACTCGCAACGGTCATGCCTAACCATCGATGGTTAAGCCTTCCCATCGCTGGGTTCCCATCGATGGGTAAAGCTTCCCATCGCTGGGTAAGGGCATTCTGCCTTGTGGTAATGTTGCACCAAGGCTTTAACAGCGATGGGTAGAACTTCCCATCGCTGTTTGGCATGGTTCTGGAAATCAGTTTCGTTGAGGGACTGCTTACCCATCGATGGGAAGATCTTCCCATCGCTGGGTGGCATGATTCTGGAATCCCGGGATCACTTACCCATGCATGGGTGAAATCTACCATCGCTGGGTAGATGGCTAGCCCAGAACCATGGCCTAGCTGACCGGCGCTGAAACCCGACCGAAAAATGCAAAGTTCTCCAAAGTAAAAATAAGTATATAAAACACTTATTTAATGTATTTTGATGTCAAAACAAGCTTTGTAAGTTGAAAACCACGTCGTTAAGGTAAAAACCACGGTTGACCAAGTCAACACCGTACACGGGTGGTTTTCACCAAAAGACAAAACCGAAAGGTGGTTTTCATGATGTTTTGATTGGAGAACCATTTAAATACATTCAAAAACAAATCCCACACAAAAAGACTCGAAAACCACTTCATTTAAGTAAAAACCGCGGCTAGCCAAGTTAATGCCGTTTCACATGGGTTTTATCAAACGACAAAAAACGAAAGGTGGTTTTTGAAGTGTTTTTGATGAAAAACTATTTAAATGTGCCCAGAAGTAAAAACCAGTCATAAAAAGTTGAAAACCATTTGGTTAGTTCGGACGCCAAAAACCAACGCCGAAAACCGAATGCCGAATGCTGGTTTCTGAAACCCGAACGCCAGATGGATTGGTTTTTGGTTTGGGCGAACACCAAGTGTTTTTAATGTTTTATACATCTTTGAAAAACATTTTTATGATGTGTGAAATGCATTGAAAAGAATTTTAGCCTAAAGAGTCAAGGTGTAAAGATTGGGTCGGTCTTGATCACAATAAAGACCAACTCAACGATGCTAAGACTAAGGTCTTCGTTCTTGGTCTTCGTTTGGCTCTTGCTCTTATCTTCGTTCTTCGCCTTGTATATTCAATGTTCGACTTGATCACGGCGGTTTGACATTATCAAAACCTGTCATAAAAACGAACACGGCTTTAGTACGAAAACACGATAAACCCGTGTTTCAACATCTCTCTCTCTAATCTTTAGATATCCAAGCTTACGTAGCTCACCGACCCCACAGTTGATATCTTCGGTTGTTTATTGGCATCAAATTGGTGCTTTCATTGAGAGAAGAGAAACATACTCGTAGGTTAACTCCTAAGAACGAGAATGGTACAAACAAGGAGCAATGTCCCTACCACCAGCCACGCACATGGCAAGGGGAACAGCCCGGGCAACGAGGTGACCGTGGAGCAGCTCCAGGCTGCCGTTGCAGCCCTATGCGCCATTGGCGGGGAGGACGCAGCAACGGAGCCACCCAGGCTGCAAGAGACTCCATCACCAAGCATGATGTCACTTCCCAGCACAAGGGGAAGAAGAGACGAATGTGTCGGAGGAGGCCTGGCAAGGCCCCGGTGTTTGAGGACGTGCTGGTGGAGGACATCCTAAAAGGGCAGGATGACGACTCCAGCGAGGGTCGAGTGTCGGCCTTCAAGCGGCTGAGGGGTGAGGAGACCCGTGTGTCGGCCTTCGACAGGCTCAACCATGGACACGACGTCCGCCAGGACGAACTGTACCGATGCTCACCCCTAATCTACGCCAGCAGATCTCGGAGGGCAGACGGAGGCACGCCGAGGAATCGGCAGCCTCAAATTCATGCTCGGGAAGGCCCAAGCGTACCGACGGATGGTGGGAGGAGCGAACCCAGCAAGCCCAGAGAGACGAAAATGAACTTCGACGTCCAGGTCTTGACGGAATCCTTCTTGGATTTGAAAATCCCTTCCCGCCGTTGGCCGAGGGCGGCATAGGAACCCGAGTCTGAGCCGAAAGACTTGGCCACCCGGAACAAAGTCTGGAGGTGGTCAAGGACAGGACGCGCACTCGGTTGGCGGCAGCGGATGAGAAAACCCGCCAAGTAACAGTGCGAGATCGGTACCAACTGGCACGGGAGGAAGTCGAAGTCATTGAAGAACGAAATGATCAAGGGATGAAGGGGGAATCGGAACCCATACTCAAGGGACATGAGATGAATCTCGAAGAAACCCAAAGGGGAGTCAAAGACTGACTCCTCCGGGGTATGTTGGTGAACGGTTACGCCAGGACCAGCGTAGCGCATGACCTTGCGATACTCGTTGTCGCCTGACAAATCGCACTTCCAAGAGCGAATGAACGAGTCCACAAGCTCCGTTTGTTTCTGAAAACGAGGCTCGGTGGTCTTAGGAACTTCAGTAGCCTCTATCTCTTCGAGAGACGGAGAGCTCGACTAATCTTCATGGTCGTCCCGCACGGTAGAACCCTGACCACCAAAACCGAGCTGACTCTCGGCCTTAGATTGGCGTATGGAGGAAGACTCTACAGACATCGGAAATCAAAGGTGAGAGGACAGACTTGGGGGGAAGAGAATCATCACGGGGTTGCTCGTCAGATTGTAGTGAACGGTGGGAAAAAGGCGTTGGTGTGACGCTGAACTTCAATGGATATATATATATATATATATATATATATATATATATATATATATATATATATATATATATAAATCAGAAGCCAAGAACATGGGTGATATTTATATTAGAGGGTGATGGGCCGAAGAAATTAACCTGGGCCAGTGCAATGATGTGGCAGGTTGGGAAAGCGAAACGTCGCCACCCATCACTTGGTGAATGCCAAACGCCGCACCCCTTCAACGGCGCGTCCGCGCGTTGTGCCACGCGCCTGTTGCCCGAGGAACCTCTACTCTCACGCGTTCTACTGCCAGCCTTCAAAGAACCCGGAGAGTGGGGGCTTATGACGGAGGATAACCCCATGTTAGCCTAATGTCTTACCATCAGCTGGACCCCACGTCCAGGTAAGTTCGGAAGAGGGCCACATAAGTGGACGGTCTCGGTCTTTGGCCTCGGCTTGGTAGGGACGAGCTCGACTCGGACCTCGAGCTCCTTTCTTCTCGGCTTGGACCAGATGAAAGTTATGGGAGGACAGCGACTGGATGATAACGACTAGATGAAAAGGACTAGACTATGAGGACTAGGTGATGTCTACTAGGCGACAAGTATCAGTCACGGGGGTTGACTTAGTTATATCGTTGAATCTATAAATAGGTCAAGGCCTTCTCATTGCAAAGGATCCGATTTCAAGCTAATAATACTTGTACTTTGCATTCTCTCTTCGTCTCTAAACTTTACATATCCAAGCTTACGTAGCTCACCGACCCCGCGCTCGATATCTTCGGTGGTTTATTGCCATCAAAATAAGAATCTTATTTTGAAAATGCATTTCATTTATACTTTGTTTGGTTCAAGGAATTTAGAAGGAAAAGAAAGAAAATGATTTTCTCTCATTTTCTTCATCAAAATGAGAGGAATTTGTTTTTCTTTCTCTTAGTACATTTTCTCTTCTCATTTTTGTTTCCTTTCACTTTTCTTTTCTTTTCCTCTCTAGCTAGACAAGACAAAAAATTCTTCTCATTTTCTTTTTCTTTCCTTCTCAAATTTCTTGAACGAAACATAATGTTAGTTTTACCTCGCATGTTCATAAATCACTATTCCATAAAACTATATCTTCTTTTTGTACTTATCTATACAGAGTATAATTTATTCGTTAAACTAATAATGTCTTTTCTTATTTAAAAAAAATATTTGACGTACTTTAAAATATGTAAATTTTATTTTTAAATTTTATTTGAACAATAAATTTAAAAAAAATTAAATTAAAACGTTTACCATATTTAGGAATGCAATCCCAAATTCAAGCGCAGTGTTAATTCAAAATAATTCAATTGCTATTGCTAATAGAAATGGCTATTAAGAGTGTCACAAACACTAACTACTATCCCGAGTAATTCGTATTCTCCATAAAAATGCAAACAGATAAATAAATAAATATTTATCAGATCCAATATTTCACCACATCAAAAGATAGCAAGCAAACTGCAAATTAATGAAAGAACTACTAGAAACAGATACGATATCCCCTTTCTTCAATCGCTCGTTATTCTCATAATCATCAATCAAGTACAGATTAACAAGAGGATTGTTATTGTCAGAGTATTTAAAGAACCAGGCAACCAGCTCAAGCGAAAGATTAATGGAGGCTTAATCTAACGAGGTACGGATCGAGTCTTGCTACAGAGGGAGGAAACAATTGAAGATCCTGAGGCAAGCGCAGTGGAAATCGCGAGAAATCTCGACAACGTGAGCGGCGGATTCCCGCCGGAGAGTTTCTATGGACTCCATGAAAAGATTGAGCCTTCTTATGGGAGTTATGTTTTGTTTTGTTAGATGAGGGCGATGATTCCAAACTGGTGCATCTCGTTAAGACGCCATAGCGGCTGAACATCTTCTGCCTCTACCAGTTCCATTGCTCATGCATAGTACAACGTGTGGATAACGTCCGGATAGAAAAGAAGAAGAAGAAGAAGAAACAATGGAAATAAAACTCAGATGATCACAAAGAAAGCAGTTTTCATGAAGAAGAATCAGGGAGAGTTAGTTATTGTTTGGATGATATAGAGAGTTCCAAGACATGCTTTGAGATTTTAAAATCGTGTGTTGACACAACATCCATTTATTTGTTTCATGAAAACCTTTTTTGGGAACAACGTTTAACGTTTTGAATCATTTTTTATATCTCTCAAAATGTTAAAGCTAAACGATGTCATTAGACAAACTTTCTTAAAACAACAGTGAAGTTGTTGCCGGACGGGCATGAGATATTGAAAAACCCGTGCGCATATATTCCAACCTTGTTTCACAACAAAACTCGATTTCCATGCTTTTTAGAATGAAAAATGCCTACTTTAACTATTGAGACTAAGGTTGGCACCATTTGTGACACAAACAATCGTGACCACTAATGATGACACCACATTTTACAACACACAAAGAATTGTCAATGAGACAATCATTGTATGCGATGCGCAAGCGGTGTCAACCATAGTGTCATTTGTGGTATGATCGTAGCATGATCTTACCATCAAAAGGTATCAGAACTCATATATCTCCTGTGTTCACCAAACAGACCCTTAATATGTACTCCCATCTCTACTAGTTAATAGTTATGGTGTCTTACCTTTCCTCTTTCTTCTATGGACCCCAATTCATTGTGTACACAATAGACCTGTTGTGTTTGGAACTGCAGCAATTCCAAATGCCAAATAAAAAAATACAAAATCCAATCAGCATTATCAGCAAGGAATTTTACTTTATACGAATGTTAATAATAAAGTGCTAAATTGTGTTTTACCGCTAGCATGATTATGGGAGTATCCCCGATCAATCTTATTTCCTGAACTTCGACGTAAGCGATATGGAGGATGTGCAAACATATATGGGGTTCAAATCGACAAAGCAAAATTACCGCATAACGGAGTAACACATGTAGAGTTTTGATAAAAATCATAAAACTTAGATGTTACGATTTATGATGCATGGCTGAATTTATTTTCAAAAAAAAATTATTTCAAGAATCGGTTTGACTATGTTATTTTAACAAATGAACAATGATAGTTTGACATTATCTGGCCCACCCAGCCCGCCTTTTAAAAAGGGCGAATATGGACAACCTTTAATACCCACATGGGCGGGCTGGCCCGAGCACGAATTGTATCTGGGCGGATCTGGAAGTTACTTTTAGCCCATCCGGGCCAACAGGCCCGCCCATATTCATTAAAAATATTCACTTTATTATTAATTATCTAGCTAATATAATTTTGAAAAATTGTTATAGTTCATGTATAATGGTTCAATTCAATCACCCCTCTTAAACAAAAACCAATATTCTTTTAATGAATTAGTATGACGGGTTTATTAATTATGCAATAATACCTCTGTTATGTTTTCTGTGTAAATTTGGTGAGTGGTGATTTTATATACATTATATTGAAAAAAGAGTTCAATGTTTTTTTGGATTTTTTGTGCAAAAAAAGTTTTCTTTGTGTTTTATCCGGGCCAGTCGGCCCGGTGGGTAGTTCGGCCCGCTAAAGTGGGCGGGTATGGGTAAAGAGTTTAGCCCATCAAATTCGGGCCGGGCTAGACCCGCCCATGTAAATGGGCTAATAATTTGTATCCAGCCTGGCTCGAATCCGGCCCGGATTCTTATTTGCACAGGTATAGTAAATACTCCGTATAAAGTAACAAAAAATTATAAATCACATATATCAAATATATGGATAAATCTGCAAAAATATATTTATAATTTGTCTATTATTTTTTAAAAAGTAAAACAAAAAACAGGAAAAAATCCCCAAACGAGTCCTAAATTGGTGTCATATCATAATTTGATTCATTACTTTATGATAAAAAAACTTAACCCTGGCTTTTGTAAGAAACACTTTTACTTACTAATTTATGGTTTAAGTGCATATGCGTTGGTAAGTAGTAAGTTTTGTCTAGCCATTCACGTTAAATTGAACGCCTTATGGGAGGCAACCCACTTACTTTTTTAGCTTTTTTTTTGAAAAAAAGATTCTCTTTACTTCTAGCTTCTAATTATTGTTGTACTTTATTTTTTTTCTCATCTAATTGTTGATTTTTTTAACCTTTTTTTAATAACATGACCCACTTACATTCAATTTCGTTTTTAGTTATCTTTCTTAGATTTTTACTTGAATTCTTGTTGTTGTAATTATGTTAGTGATATTAATAGTAGTACTAGTTGAAGTACTTATTGTAATGTATTTTTACTTATTTTTTTCCTCCTTTTCTCTTTCACTTGGATTGAAAAAAAAAGTAAAAAGTATAAAATCAAAACAAAAAAAAAGTTATCTTGATGCGCTTAATTGTTTTTTTTACTTGTGCTTCTAACCATCTACTTTGAGAGCTTTTTGCAAGATTTGTTGAATTTTAGGTGGAATCATAGGTGTTTGGAGTAAAAATCTGCACAAAATATAATGGTGCAAAATCTGTTATGAAACAACTCTTGGTGTCCGGTGTTGGTATACTGTCAATTTTCTATTTCTTGAAGCCTTGGGTGTTTAAATTTGGTCTTATTTGAGTTGGAAACTGAAAAAATATACAGTTCTCAATCTGATTTTTAAGCTGAAACTGAAAATATGCACTTTGTAAGCTGTTTTTTTAGTGTAAAATGAAAATTTTACACTTTTCACGGCTTATATGTGCTAAATTTGACAAAAGTCTGCATCATTTAAACCTGATATTTTTGTTCTTCAATGTTAAAATACTTGGTCTTAGCCTTCACTTTGCAGATTTTTAGGTCCATCGTCCACAACTTGATGATGTGGGCCACGTGTCCCATTCTTCCCTTGGACTGGGTCACCTTGATCTACTTGCCATATGCGCAATAACGGGCTTGGCCTGTCATCTCCGTCTCACCTACCTTTTGGGCTATTATGGGCCTTTATTTGGGCCTGGAGTCGGGCCTACCGGACCCGATATCCATCACTTCTCAATCTGATTTTTAAGCTGAAACTGAAAATATGCACTTTGTAAGCTGTTTTTTTAGTTCAAAATGAAAATTTTACACTTTTTACGGCTTATATGTGCTAAATTAGACAAAAGTCTGCATCATTTAAACCTGATATTTTTGTTCTTCAATGTTAAAATACTTGGTCTTAGCCTTCACTTTGCAGATTTTTAGGTCCATCGTCCACAACTTGATGATGTCGGCCACGTGTCCCATTCTTCCCTTGGACTGGGTCACCTTGATCTACTTGCCATATGCGCAATAACGGGCTTGGCCTGTCATCTCCGTCTCACCTACCTTTTGGGCTATTATGGGCCTTTATTTGGGCCTGGAGTCGGGCCTACCGGACCCGATATCCATCACTTCTCAATCTGATTTTTAAGCTGAAACTGAAAATACGCACATTGTAAGCTGTTTTTTTAGTTCAAAATGAAAATTTTACACTTTTTACGGCTTATATGTGCTAAATTAGACAAAAGTCTGCATCATTTAAACCTGATATTTTTGTTCTTCAATGTTAAAATACTTGGTCTTAGCCTTCACTTTGCAGATTTTTAGGTCCATCGAGCAGAATAGGATGGGAATGGTGAATTGATGTTGCGTATACTTTTTTAAATTTGCATTCTCCTTCCCATCCTTTCCCCTTTACTTTTTTACATTACTCCTCATCCCCTTCTCTCTCAGCTTATTCTCTTGGTTATATCATTGTTGTTCATTTGTATATCATATAAATGCATCGAGGTCTATGCATAATTTAAGTTTGGGGGAAGGTTCTCATGTTTATTTGAGGGAGTATATTTTTGGGCAATTTTTTAAAATTATGTTTTGGGTCCAAATATTTTTGTTATTCTTAATTGCATATCTTCTTATTTAGAGCATTGTTTTAAACTTGACCCAAAAACTTCAATTTTTTTTGTTTTGTTGAGCTTTGTTCTAAAAGATAACAAATGTATACTTTACAAACTCGCCTTGAGTCTTGATGGCCTTTTTCTTGGTAAAATGATCTTAAAATGTTTGCAATCCTTCTTGGCATTCTTTTGAATTTTATTTTCTAGAACTGTCCATCCACATATTATCTAGATGCTGGTTTAATCACTTTGTGTGATATTAAAAATGAAACAAGTTTTAAGAAACTAGTTTTAAGAACTCTTTATTTTTAAGAAAATTGTGTGATTTTTCTTTTTACATTTTTAGGCTTATTTTGATAAATCTTGCTACCGTTGCCATTGAGCCGTTTGAACCATAAAAATTCCCTTAGGACACTTTTTTGTGTCAACTTTAGACCATTTTTTTAGAACCCAAATAACTCATTGTTTAGTTCTCCATCCTTTTAGGATTTTTAGCTCACTTTATTTTTAAAATGCTATGGGCATAAAATCTTAAGTGTGGGGAGGTAAAGTGTAATTTCTTTTTCTTCATGATGATAAAAAGTTTGGTTTCTGTTTGATCTTTTGAACGAGGACGTTCAAGTTTTAAGTGTGGGGTATTTGATAAGTCGGCTTTGGTTAGTTCTTTTTATTTTATTTTTTAGGCAATTTTAATAATTTTAAAGTTTAATTTTTAGTTGTTTAGATTAGTTTTATTTTAATTCTCATTTTTGCTATCTTTTAATTTTTTTTCTTTCAAAAATAAAAGTTTTTATTCAATTTTTTTTCATTCTATTATTTTTATTTTTTTCTCTAACCCAAATTACCAGGTATCCTATTTTCTGAAGAAAAATATAGCAGAAGGCCAAAAATGAAGCTCAAGTTTGAAAAGAAGAGATTGATTTTGGGCCGGAGCGCAAAACCAATCATTAAATGAACAAAAGAAGAGTAGCCCAACACTCCTCTCCTCCTTCCTCTTTAGTCGCACGCAAGAAAAGGAGGAAAAAAACCTGCGTTACTTCTTCGTCGTGTACATCTTGATCGGGTTACTCAGATCGCACGATATGTATTCTTCCCTGCTCCCGAGCTCCACGACATTCTCTTGTGCCGCAGAGTATGTGATCCCTGTTCAATAGTAATGTTGGCCATGAAACACATATAGCGCCATAAAAAACATGGAAAAGTTCACACCATTACTCTTATAATTGCGCGATTTTACATAAATATTCTGATATTTAATAAATGACACCAATGTTCCAAGTATTTTTATGTGTGTGCATCACGGCTCCAATATTTGCATATATTTACATTGGTGCTCCAACATTTGGAACACAATCATAAATATATGTAAATTCATTGACGGACTAAGATAAGGTTGTTATCGCGAGTAAATTGACGGACTGAGATAAGGTTGTGAATAATATGGGGGGATACAAGGACATTATTTAGGGAAAGGGGAGGGTTAGTTTTAAGGAATCCGTTGCCAGAACCCGTAGTGCTTACTCTAGATCCATTGCCTACAATAATATGAGAAGGTTAATTTATGTTTGAAGGAAATACATGAGATAAAGTACCTGAGTCGGCGGTGATGTGGTGCGAGGCTCCGGTGTCCATGAACCAGGTAGGGTGGGAGTTGAGGTGTAGGTTTTCAAGGCTATGGGTTAGGG